CCCTGTACTTGTGTGTTAATGCTAGTCATAGCCATGTAGTACGGACGCAGCCTTACTCTCTCAGTCATAATAATGATATGCTGCAAATATGCGCACAGATGTCTCAGATATATCGTGATGGGGTCATAGAAAGGTCACCCAATGACACAGAAGTCTTGTTGCCATTGATCACGATTTAGGTCATCTGTAAAGATGTCATCTACAGCTGCTACGTTCATGTAACATGTGACCTTGTCTATGACACATGACCATGACCTTGTTTTTAACACCCCCCCCCCTCTTCGTGATACATTATAATTTGTATGGTACAGGTATCTGGTGTCCCTGATTTGTCATCACCTTGTATACTGGTTGAGGATTAGTCATTAATTAGGCAGTCTGGGTGCCAGATATGACGCCTGCTGGTCCATACTTGTACATCCGTTGAGGTTTTCACAGTCAGTGCAGTCTTGCTTAAATAGACCTTTCTTTCGCCGACGCATGTTGCCGAACTATGGAAGGTGCGACACTGCAAAAATGAAGAATGGTTATTAACGATTACAAAAATATTATTTGATTGTTGAAAATACAAAATTGTTAAGCACTACAAAATACTTCCTAAACATTCCTAATTTCTTGTGTAATGAGGGTGGTATGAGGACTTTTTTGGAAAAAATGTGTTGCCAACCACAGCTTCAATTTACGCGCTTGCGGCAGCCATACAAAATGGCGCTCAGTGTTTACAAATAATAGAAAGGTCTACGCATGTAGGCAACCTGCCTGCCGACAACGCGGGTCTCAAGTTAGTCAGCAGAAAGCAGTGAGAGAACTGGGCCGAAGTTCATTAAGTGGTTTAGCAGAAAATATTGAGCTCGTCAAGTATAGGCCTATTCTGACTACTTCTTAGTTACTTGATTCAAACTATGGCAGATGGTTTTTATGCTATAAATGATGTGTATTGTGCCTGGATGCTTTGCGCACTAAGGGACGCTATCATGCATGACATATTAAACTCCGTGCTATGTACACAAAAAAGGGGAGCCAGCGGAGCATGTAAGCGTGAATATGGGTCGAAATTGTGACCCGTCCTCTAAATGTCCTGGAATAAATGATGTAGTCTTCATCTGTCTGCTTAGAAATGATGGCCCCCCCCCTTTTTTATAAACCACACAAACTCACAGAAGAGATTACTTCTCACATGGTGCAACTGCAAACTTACTCTCCAAAAACTTAACTCCATGTTTCTAGTGTCGTGAATTATTGTAAATTAGGGTTTTTAGGAATTAGTAGGGTATTGTCCTACTGTTACACAAGGAATAAGCAGGTTATTGCCCAGCAAAAATTAAAATGTAACCCCTTATTAGGGACGGCCACAAACTTTGAACTGAGCTCGGTGCACGTACTGGTACGCACCTGACCCATTTCACTGTATATCAGTGTCAAAAAAAGTTCACTCCATATTTTTAGTGTCATGAATTATCGCAAATTAGGGTTTTTAGGAATTAGTAGGTCATTGCCCTACTATTACACAAGGAATAAGTAGGTTATTGCCCAGCAAAAATGAAAATATTACCTTATTAGGGAAGGCCACAAACTGTGAACTGAGCTCGTAGCACGAACCTGACCCATTTCACTGTATATCAGTGTATTTTTCTCTGTAAGTGTATTGCGATCTATCACGTTTACAGGAAATGATTTGAATGAAATCCAGCCGGCCAGATTCAGTGAAGTAAATGCAGCGGTACTTTCCCGTCTGGGTGGAGTTGTAAACAGAGATGAGTTGGACAAATTTTGTTTTCGGTTTTATTGATAGCGCATTACTCCATTCGCCTTTGCTTTTCCAGACCCTCAAAATTCTTGGTTACTTCGTGAACAGAATTAAATGCCCGCTGCAACTAAGGAATGTGACTTTGCGTTTAATTTTGTAAACATTTAGCAAATAATTTACAAGCCGTTTAAACATTTCAACGTTTAGCTATTTCTCAAAGGCCGACACCTGCCCGTTATGTCTGCAGACCCAAGTGATTGGCGTGATAACTCAAAATTATTGACGTGATACGGTAAGTAGCAGGCAGTCGTAAAGTAAAAAGTTAAAGGGAAAATACAACATTTGCAAACATCAAAAAATAAAACTACCAAATCATTTTGAATACCTTGCTGGACTGTTAGTGAATGACAGTGTAATGAGCATCCTGTAAAATCATGGCACCTGGTATAGTGTCATTTTCAAGAAAAGTGGTATTTTTGTATCAATTTCCAACGCTGGTCGGCCAACCAGCGTTGGAAAAAAACTGGCTTTTTTTCAAATACTGGCCCCAGTTGACCATCGCACTTGTTTGCAATCGATTACACACCTATGAACGGGTACAAGCCAGCTAGACTGGTTCCCTGACCTTACAATTCCCCAATGTATGTAAAGTGCTCTGTTTCTTCTTATATGGAGTCAGGGAACCAGACTACAGGAAAAATGATTGTTTTTCTTGGTTTTTATAGCATTTTCGAACCCAAAACCTCAAAAAAGTCAGTGTAACTATATTTGCTATATATTTCCAACCCCCCAATTCCATCCATTTCTGAAAATTACAGCAAAAGCAAATGATGTATATTCCCTTTAACTGTATTCCGAATGTAATCAAGTTCTGCCGTGCTTCTAAGGTTTTGTAAATGAAATAAGTTTATTATTAGTACTGTGTACTGGTATGTTTGTTCATAACTTCGGGTTACAGGTTTACAGGTTATGACCAAAACTGTGGAAAATCTGTAAACAGATTTAGATTTTTTTCTTGTTTCAATGTTTAAATGTGTAAATGTCACATCCTTAGCTACACATGTACATGTATCTCAATTGTTCTAAATATATGTATAACCTACTCAAAACAATGGCAATGTACTTAATGTTTTTTCTTGTTTGCGTGTGTTTGTAAAAGGGGTTAGGGGAAGTGGATGGTTCCAATGTTGTTATCTACTTTAAATTGCTTTATTCCGGAACTTTGTTGGTACTGGTACACGTACCGGTACGTTATATAAAAATTCCCTCTTAACTGTCTGTGTACATGCGTCCTGATAGTGCAGTGGTCAGCACTTCCCACCTATAGTATTGTCTCCATGGGAACAAATTAGAAGGAAGGAGATTGTGGTCAAAAAGGGAATTCAAAATCTACCGGTATCATAATAGCTTTCCTTGTTTTGCAAAAACAGGCTATTAAAAACACGATATAAAGGGAAAGTGCTGGCACAGACTCGTCATTTGATAGTTGAAGTTGACTAAAAATGGAGTCTTTGCACAGCATGGTGAAAATATGTGAGTGTACACGTATATGTACAGTACATGTAGGTGTTGTGCAGATCAGATTTTGTGTTTGGTTTTTGTGATTGTTTATGTTTGCATGTCTTTTAATTAAAAAACTTTGTTGGTTCCTGTTTTTCAAACTGAATGTTGGCCCAAGTGAAGGCTGGTTCCTTCATCAGGTGAATGCCACACTTGAAATTTGCTCCATCTTTGCTAACTTGTAGAGCAATCACAGTTAGTGCAATATTAGTTATCCCATGAGCGCGAGTGGAACACGGAATAAAGTGGTGCGCCTGTGTCCCACATACCACGAGGCTGTAGGCCGAATGTGGGACACATTCACACTACATTTTCCGTGTTCAACGAGTGCGAGGGGGATAAAAATTTATCTTTGAGCAAACTTGACGCACAGTAAAGATGGAACACGCATGCGGTACACAAACTTTTCAGCTGTTATCCTATTACACATGCATGCAGAAGGATCAGCGCATGATCATCTTGGAATAGCGTGGTACACAGAGTGCGATATCGACCCTGCTCAATTAGGTATAATGTCACACTGTCGTTGCCATGGATCAACCAATCACGATCGAGGATTCAAGTTCGCTTGAAGATAATGTTAAATATTAATGTTAGTGTATATAAGCCAGCGTTAGTGAGTATAACTATAAGCCAGCGTTTGTATGGAGGTGCTTTGGCTAGACTAGGACAACCCTTACAATTAATGTAGATGTCGGTGGACCTACATGTAATGACTGAACCCGCAATAGTTGATGCATGTATGCAAGTACTCTTAAAGTTAGTGTTATATATTTAATTTTATAAGTCCGTCTATTTTTAGGGCAGTACCTGTGGGTAGATCAGGGTTGGGTGATGAGGTGTACTGTAGGCACCACAAGGTAGTTTCTGCTACTAGTCAAAACTTTGTCATTTTTAAGCAAACCTGTCATTTCCTGGCAGACGGAATGACTGTTGGATTATGTCAGACCGAACCTAGCAATCTTGAGGAAGTTGACTCAGGAAAAGCGGTATCACTCCAGCCTTGGGTCTGTGACGCCGGGCAGAGTTAGCCCAATCACAGACCGAGGGCACACGTAGGTTTCACAGGCCGAATCGGAAGTGAGCTTTAGTACTGACTGTAGTTGGTTAGAACTTGCGTTTCACATTCAGTCCATGCACCTCAACCTGGCTGTGCTGACGAGGGTTTTGTTCTCTGAAAGAGTTTTGAGTTTTCCAAATGTTTGTAGTTTGGACGCTCCAGCCGTTGGAAACTACATGTTTCTAGTCCAAAGTTTCTAATATTGTGTATTTGATATGTGTAAAATCTACTGAGGGATATAGCCAAGTTATTGTGAGGTAAGGTATTTGCTTCTAGATCTCTGAACTCAAAACTGATCATTAGTCTCTTCTTGTGTACTATTTTAAGTGAGGAGTGACCTGCCGTCATTTGAAGTGCATTTGTACTGCGTGATGTGGGTGGGTGTTCATTCCTTAGATAATATTTTCTGGACCAGTTTGTTAACATGTGGCTACTTGTAACTCTGTATCATTGCTGACATTACTGATAATGGTCATGATCTTAAGATTATCACTGTTACTTGTTTTTTTTTTCCCTGCAGATTATGTCCAACGCAGATTGACTGGGGGCAATACTTGTTTCAGATTATCCCTATCAACTTCCTTCCCATTTTGACTTTATCTCAGCTTCTGCTATCGTCTTCCTCCCTTTCAGATAAGAAGTTCCACACGCTTCCTCTCCCCAAACGGAACAAGGAGAAGAAGAAGACACCCTCTAAGGACGACTCGGAGGGCGTGACCAGAAAGAAGAGCTTTGTGGACATGACGCGGCGTAAGCTGAGCCGGGGTACTAAGGACCAGGCTGTCATTGAGCCGCTACGACGTAAAGTAGGTGTGGAAAAGGTCAGTTGACACCTCGAGAAGTGGCTGTATCAAATGACCGGCGAGGTTGATGCAAAAGGTCTCGACTTGCTAATCGTCTTAAAGCTATAGTCCATCATTTGTAATTACTGCATTTTGTTCGTTCGAAGCAACAAAAGTGTTCAAAATCTAATGAAGGATACTGGACAACTTACCTGATGAAGTTTCAGCTCAGCTTCAGCTTCATATTCCGAGAAAAACAGCATTCTAGGATCTCAATTTAAAATCAAAAGTTGCTAAATCATGTTTCGAATTGTTTTGAATTGCAGCTTTACGCGATGTCGCGCACTGATCCGACAAATTATAGCAACCGCGTGCGCCTGTGCGTCGTTCCAATGCTTGTGTGCGCTGCACCGAATAGCAAAACGAACAACTAATTAGCTTCTTAAGAAGCACCGTTGGAAATGCCTTCTTTCGTTGATTTCTTCAAAATTAGAGCTTGCAAGAAAGGATAATTTCACAGGGAGTTTAGTCCCCATACTATCTTTCAACCAGTATGTTTTTCAACAATAATTACGCCAGTTACTTTTTTGGATAGCTGCAAATGATGGACTCGGGCTTTAAGACAAGGCTTGGCTAATTTCTTATCAGTCCGGTCGACTCAATTTGTAAAGGATCCTCATAAAGAAGTCATAATTAAGTCGTAATTTCACCATGGGCAAACTGTTGTTATTGAGCTCTTTAATATTTTTAAAAAGTTTGTTTCTTGTTTTAAGGTTTTTTACAAATCATAAGGAATGTGCCATGGCCCGTTGAATTGGCACGGAATGACCCACTTGCTTGAAGACATTTTATCATAACCAGAATGATAGTATACAAAATAATTTTACTTTTGGTTTATGATGCAGTACATGTACATTAAATGCAAAAAGTACCTCAGTTGAAAAACAAGAAATGATAATACAAAGGTTGACCGAGATATAAACTGGAATTTCTTACATTGATTATTGCACAGTACGGGTGATTCCCAATACATGTACAGTGCGCCACCGAGAGGTTGCCACGGAGAGTCCATTTTCGCAGTGCATTGTGGGAGACGGTCGACAGACTTGCCATAGCGCGGGACACTTAAAATTGTTAGTTTGTTCAGTCAGTAGTTTCGTAAGCTCATTCGAGTATCTTTTTTTCCTTTTCATTTTATCAAGGTGGTCTTTTTTGTGAGGCAGCAGAAATCTATCAAAAATTTCTTCAAGTTATCTACTGACATTTGTTCAAATCCTGGCAAGTAGGCCATGTTTTTGTTTGCCGTAAACTTGAAAAATTGTTCCGCACTGTATTGGGAATCGCCCGTATTGCATCAGTTCCTGTATTTTTGGGATTCCACGTTTATGTTGAGTTTTTTCTTCAAAATCTGTACTTTACAGGATATGGATAAACTGCAGGTTTCAGAGAAGTCAGTCATGGTAGCTCTGAAATGGTTTCTAGGTAAGTGAAAGATACAACATCATTTCCCCCCCCCCCGATTTGTTGTGAATTATGCCAAGTTGTTAAATGTAGATAAAGCTTGAGGAACAAATTCAGATACCTTGTGAAAAGTACATGTGGTAGAGTATCAGTGTTTTTCCAGAAATTGAATACAGATTTCTTTGTATTGCTTTTGTTGAGAGATTTGAAATTATATCGAAAGGAGAAAAAAATTGTTTCACTTTCTATTATTTCCTGCTGAGATAATAGAAAGTGAAACAATTTTTTCTCCAGTCTATATAATTTCAAATCTCTCAACAAAAGCAAAACTAAGTAATCTGTATTCAATTTCTGGAAAAACACTGATACTCTACCAGCAGATGTACTTTTCACGAGGTACATCTGAATTTGTTCCTTGAGCTAGCTATAGTGTAATCTAAGAAAATAGATTCTAGTGTGGAAATCCCAAAAAAAATCCTAAACTCTCAAAAGAGTCAGGCTGTTATACACGTACCGGTAGTTAACAAAGCTTGATACTTTAGAAGCTCTGAGCATCTACAGGGTGAGTCAAAGAGAAAGTGGCCTGGATTAATTGTTTAAATTAATTTTGTTTGCAAGTTTATGATATAAAATGTTGTGAGAGGAAATGAAATACATGTAGTTGTAATGCCAAAGAGTTAAACTGCCTGTCACAAGAAGTACCGAGACTGAATCGACTTGGGGACAATACATTTAGCTGAAGGCTGAGATTTAGAGACAAACATTGCTGACAAAAAAAATGTTATTTTTCCCCCGCATATTTCAGAGGTAATTCAGAAGGACACGCTGATCATGCTCCCAGGGAGTACGACAAAGGTCCTCCAAGAAGTCATGGAGCTCAACCAGTGTCTGAATCAATGTCTGAATAATGAAGAAAGGTAAGAGGCCACCTCAGCGTTGCTATGGTTACCGAGGGCTGTATGTGGGAATGTTGCCGTGGATACTAAGGTTCCGTCAAGGTACATTGTCGCGATTAGATCCAGGAACATCACTACTTTGAAGAATGTTAATTTTGTTCTTTAAAAGTATTCCTTTAACTCTTGTGTAAAAACAACAGATATGCTGTGACACTGTTTTCATAAAATCAGCGGTTTTTAAAAATCATTTACAAGTAGTGGGTAAAAATTGACAAGAGTTTGGTAAGAGTATACAGAACCTGTTTATTCTAGAACTGATTTGGTATGTTTCTACTAAACAAATTTCTGAAAGAAAAATTCAGTTCTTGACTGAATAAGTCATGCATATTTTGTACTGTGTCTGAGAGTACGTCAGGGTTTGCCTACATTGTCCTTGAAAATATTCACCTCCATATTTCACTAAAACACACCGATACTTGATCATAAGGGAAATTCCATGTACAGTTTTGAACATTGCTTTAGGCAATGACAAGGTAAAAAAAACTTCACAAAGTGAAACCGAAGCCAATATGAAACTGTAGTTGGTAACTTTCAAAGAAACTGCAGGGTGTGCGAGAGAGTATTTGTTGGTGAAAGTGCAGTGATCGGTGAATGATACATAAATACATGCATGTCAACATGTGTGTTTCTATGTGTTTTTGGGTGCGGGGTGGTGTTTTCCTGTCAAAACTTTCAATTGGACTAACGTGTTTGTCTTCAGTTATAATGCAAATGGTCTATAGAATTTTTTTCAATTAGTCTGGTGCCTGTTCTGAGTGTGCGCTGAGTGCGTAGTAACATGGTGCTGAACTTACCCCCTTTCAACAAAGTTTAACTTTATGTCTTGTTCAAGTTAAACTTTCAGACCCTGAGAGTTTCTTGCTAAAAATCCTTTTGGTGGTTTGAGTGGTGGAACAATTTTTTGCCGAGCTGTTTTTTTAAATGAGAGAAATGTTTCCTTTGATCCTTTTTTCTTTAAATTATTATAAGATGTTTTAGATTGTCACTTAAGAAAAAAAACACACATTTGTTTCATAACATTAATGTAGGCAGATGGTTCATGGTTCAGTGTAGTACGAAATATGTATATACAGATACTTTTGCAAATTATGTTTCATTTCATTTCCTCTTCTATTTTCATGTATCTGCAGCTCGATGCTTATGTCATGTCACAACCAAGTCCACCAAAGCCTAGCTAACCTCATCCACTGGGCAGACAAGATTGTCCTGTACGGAGAATCCGCCATGAACAAAGACGAAGGCAGCGAAGTGACCGAGGCCGTGCGTTCAGGCATCGAGGAACTGGTCAAACTCTACCTGGAGAAACTCAAAGACAGGCAGAACAAACTAGCGGCTGGTAATGAAGACCAGCAACAGACGCCCAAGCTAAACTTCGAGAACAAAGAGTAAGTGACTGGAATGATTCCGGGCACCAGACCAGTGTATCATTAGAACTCATCCTGACACCTGCATTAAGCTGCATCAATCCAAATTGCTATTTTGACCTGAACTTCTTAAGGGCTGCCCCATTTTTTTTGCTTGTGGCAGCAGTGATATAAAACCAACCAAAAAGCGAGACTTAATTGCTGGTTGTTTGTCATTACATATTGAAAAACCGTGAAGCCACGAGCAAACATATGAAGCGTGAGCTTGGCTGGCTTCTGATTCACGAATCCTCAGTGTAAGTCACATTGGGGAGGCGGGAACTGGACTTAGCCGTAATACAGACTGCAACTGCGCCATTGTGCTCCAGGTTGAGCAATGGAATTGATTTTAAAAAAATGTACTCGATGTGTACTCCCGAGTACTGGGGTCGAGTATTGAGTACCAAACCGTCGAGTCCCCGCAAAATTCGAGTACGGAATTTTTTTTCGAGTACTGATAGTCGAGTACGGGCCGAGTACTTGTGTGTACTCGAGTTGTACTCGAGTACGAGTATGAGTACGAGTACTCCAACACTGGTGCTCAGTAGAATTCTTTCCTTTTTTTAATCTGTTTTCAGTGAGGTGTATGAACAGAGACCGCTTAGCCCCAGAGAAAAAGAGATGCTGCATCAATCTCCCATTGGCCAATGGTTCCCTGGACCTAATAATAGTGGATTGGAGGCGGAAAACTCCGCCCCTCCTAAACCCTTTCTACCGAGTCAGAGGATACTAGTTACGCAAGTTGAGGGGTAAGTGATTACTTTGTAGTCTTAAGAAAAAAACAAAAAATTCCACAAGTATCTTGCAAGTCAATTCACAAGTTCAGTCACAAGTAAACAAGTGATGATCACGTCTCATTGTGAAATAATCGTTTAGTGACAAAAATTCTACGACCAAATTATGTAGGCGGACTTTCCCGGTGAAAAAAGAGAAACAAATTTGTGTGTGATAATCTAGGTGTCACATTTGATTGTGAAATAATCATTTAGTGACAAAAATCCATGACCTAATGCAGGCAGACTTTTCTGGTGAAAAAAAAGTGAAATATATTTGTGTATCTGATACTCTAGGTGTCACATTTGATTGTGAAATAATCGTTTAGTGACAAAAAATCGTTAACCTAATACAAGCGGACTTTCCTGGTGAAAAAAGAGAAACAAATTTGTGTGTGATAATCTAGGTGTCGCATTTGATTGTGAAATAATCGTTTAGTGACAAAAATTCTACGACCAAAGTATGTAGATGAACGTTTCTGGTGAAAAAAGTGAAATAAATTTTAGTGTCTGATAATCTATGTGTCGCATTTGATTGTGAAATAATCGTTTAGTGAAAAAAAATTGACGACCTAATGTAGGCGGACATTCCTGGTAAAAAAAAGTGAAATATATTTGTGTGCCTGATACTCTAGGTGTCACATTTGATTGAAAAATAATTGTTTAGTGACAAAAAATTGTTGACCTAATACAGGCAGACTTTCCTGGTGAAAAAAGTGAAACAAAGTTGTGTCTGATAATCTAGGTGTCGCATTTCATTGTGAAATAATCGTTCAGTGACAACAAATCGGTGACCTAATGCAGGCGGACTTTCCTGGTGAAAAAAGAGAAACAAATTTGTGTGTGATAATCTAGGTGTCGCATTTGATTGTGAAATAATCGTTTAGTGACAAAACTTCTACGACCAAAGTATGTAGACGAATGTTTCTGGTGAAAAAAGTGAAATATATTTGTGTGTCTGATACTCTAGGTGTCACATTTGATTGTGAAATAATCGTTTAGTGACAAAAAATTGTTGACCCAATGCAGGCAGACATTCCTCGTGAAAAAAGTGAAATATATTTGTGTGTCTGATACTCTAGGTGTCACATTTGATTGTGAAATAATCGTTTAGTGACAAAAAATCGTTGACCCAATACAAGCGGACTTTCCTGGTGAAAAAAGAGAAACAAATTTGTGTGTGATAATCTAGGTGTCGCATTTGATTGTGAAATAATTGTTTAGTGACAAAACTTCTACGACCAAAGTATGTAGACGAACGTTTCTGGTGAAAAAAGTGAAATAAATTTGTGTGTCTGATAATCTTGGTGTCACATTTCATTGTGCAATAATCATTTAGTGACGAAAAATCGTTGACCCAATGTAGGCGGACATTCCTTGTGAAAAAAGTGAAATATATTTGTGTGTCTGACACTCTAGGCGTCACATTTGATTGTGAAATAATCGTTTAGTGACAAAAAATCATTAACCTAATACAAGCGGACTTTCCTGGTGAAAAATAGAGAAACAAATTTGTGTGTGATAATCTAGGTGTCGCATTTGATTGTGAAATAATCGTTTAGTGACAAAACTTCTACGACCAAAGTATGTAGACGAACGTTTCTGGTGAAAAAAGTGAAATAAATTTGTGTGTCTGATAATCTTGGTGTCACATTTCATTGTGAAATAATCGTTTAGTGACAAAAATTTGACGACCTAATGCAGGCGGACATTCCTGGTGAAAAAAAGTGAAATATATTTGTGTGTCTGATACTCTAGGTGTCACATTTGATTGTGAAATAATTGTTTAGTGACAAAAAATTGTTGACCTAATACAGGCAGACATTCCTCGTGAAAAAAGTGAAATATATTTGTGTGTCTGACACTCTAGGCGTCACATTTGATTGTGAAATAATTGTTTAGTGACAAAAAATTGTTGACCTAATGCAGGCGGACTTTCCTGGTGAAAAAAAGAGAAAAAAATTTGTGTGTGATAATCTACCGTAGGTGTCACATTTGATTGTGAAATAATCGTTTGGTGACAAAAATACATGACCTAATGCAGGCGGACTTTTCTGGTGAAAAAGTGAAATAAATATGTGTGTCTGATACTCTAGGTTTCACATTTCATTGCAAAATAATCGTTTAGTAACAAAAAATCGTTGACCTAATACAGGCGGACTTTCCTGGTAAAAAATTGTAATGTGTCTGATTAATCGAGGTGTCACATTTCATTGTGAAATAATCGTTCAGTGACAACAAATCGGCGACCTAATTTTGCAGACGGACTTTCCTGGTGAAAAAAAAGTGCAATGAATCTTTGTGTGTGTGTGTGATAGTCTTTTTTAATTTTTCATCCGCTTGTGTGATAGTCAAGGTGTCATATTTCATTGCTCTGACTGATTGTGAAATAATCGGCCAGTTAACCCATTGTTAACAAACCGGCTATGACAAATGTGTCTTTCTGAGCAATCTGAGAGTGTGTAGTCGGATATCTGTCGGGGGTCGTGACCTTGCGATAGAGGAAGGAAGCTAGTATCTGACCTCTTGATGTGGTAATGAAGTGAAATCGGCGAGTTGGATCCCGATAGCAGGAAATCAACCAATATACATCAAGGAGTGGTGGAATAAATCAACCGGATCAGTTACAGAAAAAATCTGTCATTCTTGCCAGTCAAATATTGCCTGTATATTTTTGAATTCTGCAGATTTTTTTTTCTCCAAAAAAACCCCCCGATGTAAAACAAAAAGTCACAGTTCAAAAACTACGATCATAAAATGTTGATTTATTGAAGAAAATTTGGTCCAGGAAAAAAAAAGTTTTTCATGTAAAAATGAGTAACATTTTGAACTCTTGAGTTTGATGTGCAACCTCCCACTAAAACAAATCAGCAAAAATAAGGAAATAAAAATAACAAAAAATATCAAACTGTTTTGATACAGAAAAATGAGGGTCAATCAAAGTGAGATAATTTTTATTAAGCACTGACCAAATGAATGCAGCATATAGTCGAACATTTCCTATTTTAGTATCATGAAAATAATTAAGTTAGGATGCGCATTACGTGTACGCAGCACCGAAAGACAATCATCTGCTTAGACTATCAGTATGGGCTCGGGGGTTGTGCATGTATGTTGAGTCACGAAGGAAATGAAGCGTGTGCTCCGGGAATATCACACTGCCGTGACCTGGAAGAAAGTCCAACTAATTGATGAGATTAACAAAAACCGGTCCACTTAAAGGGTCTGCATTCTGGTTTGACTTCATTTGTTAATCACTGTGAAAAAGACTGCAGTAAATGAAAGTGATCGGAGGTGCCCTTTAAGGAGGTGCTGTTTAGCTGCAGGATAGAACAAATTGTCATGTCCCTTTGTCAGTTAGTTAGTAACAAACGTTAACATTGTCTATTGCTCCTACATATTTTGACCGATTTCAACCAAACTTTGTCAAAATTAAGTATCAGTAGCCCAGCCCCAACATGTCACATGACCAAACTGGGGTCAAAGGTCATCATGGGGTCACTGGGGTCAAAAACCTGATTTTTTTAAACTCAAAACACTACTCCTTCCAGAAATTACATGGCACAATCACGTGACTCATGCATGAACACGAATTCGTTGGCCCGCAGCTTTTCGAGATCCGAACGAGCTTGTTTTTACAATACGCTGTACATGTATGTTTGAAAAATTACATTCTGGGAGTTCATCATGTTTTTCTCAGTTGCTTAGAAATCCTTGAATTTCTTTGCTGTGTAAGTTAAAGTTTATATATTAGGCTTTTTTTGTTTCCTTTTTCTTTGGGTCATGAAATTCTCTTAATTGATTAAGGATTAACCCTAACCCGTTTGAGTGATTTACAAGGAACTTCCTCGCTCTTGCAAAATCCAACACCATATGGTAAACTCAACACCTAAACTGTTGGATTATGGTTGTATGCCGAACCCCATAATCAGTTTACTAGTCAGTAAACCATAATCAGTTTACTAGTGCAGTACTCACTCCAACAGATTCCAACAAAATGTGCAGTTGGATTTTGAAGGGTCGGGGGAGGTTAGTGTTAATACAGTTACTGGATTTTATGTTCCAACATCCGAATGAATTTGCCGTTAAGTTTTAGACCTGCTGAACCTAACAAAACTCAATTCGGAGCGATTCACAATGCAGTGCGCCTCCAAGAGTTTGCCACGGAGAGTTCATTTTTCCCAGTGCATTGTGGGAGATAGTCGACAAATTCACAGTGCGGGACATTTGAAATTGTTAGTTTTTCCAGTCAGTAGTTTCATAAGCGTATGATTCGAGTATCTGTTTGCCCTTTTCGTTTTATCAATATGTTGTGTTTTGCAAGGCGGCAGAACGCTATGCCTCAATCTATAACAAATTAGCTCAAGTTGTCTACTGACACTCGTTCAAATGGGCCATGTTTTGTCGACCGTAAACTTTAAAAATGGACTCTCCACAGCAAACACCTGGTGGGGCACTACATTGTGAATTGCTTGAATTGCAGGCTAGTTCTGTCAGATCTTGTTTTCTGAGAAATGAACAAATTACTTTCTGTATTAAGCTATTGGTTATGGCAGTCCACATACTTTGCTGTAGTTGAATACTATTTGTTTCAGCAGGAAAAAAAGGATTCACTATTAAATTTGAATTTCTCAATGTTGCTTCTTTTTTTTTGTACAGCACTGAGCCCCCACCACTACCACCGAAGAGACATAGTCGCGTTCAGCGTCATAACTCATTATACGACAATGCATCCGATGACGGCACTTACCCTCACGACTTGTCGCTAGACTGCTCAATATCAGGCAGCTCGGCCTCGGTAACCAGTCAGCACTCTAATATGAGCAACGGTAGTTCCCACAGCCGACCCGAGTCCATGTTGAGTAGTCAGTTCTCATCGCCGAGTATCCACGGACTGGAGTGGGAGGTCTCGGACGCGCTCAACCCTGCCGATGTGTCGAGACTCTCCATCCAGTCTAGTCGTCGATCCAGCACGGAATCCTCTGAGCATAGGGACGTTGAGAAGGTTTCGAACAGTGGGTCAGACGGTACCCCGCCCTGTTTGCCAGCTAAACAGCGACCGACTCTTGAGAGACATTTATCGGCGTACGATAACGTGGACCCCGAGGAAGCGGAAGCGATATCGGACCGTTGTCAGAATCTTCAAGAGGTTGTGTTTACTGCTGGGATGTCTCAAGATGAGAGCATGGAGCATAGAGACTCTTATCATAGTGGATATGGGGATCACTATGGTGATGTGCCTCCTCCTCTGCCACCCAAACAGATGAAGCATAGTAAGTAAAAATCCCCCCAAAAACAGAGGATTGAAGCAATTTAGAATAGTCTTTCTGACGGATAGGCTCATTCATTCCTGGCACTATCTTAATTCTCAGGAAGCCTTAGGGGGTCAATAAGATGATTTTTTTCTGAGGAATACGTTTTGTGCAACTTTCTACTCTTTAATTTATGAAAACTATTTGACATCTCTTTTTCCATCCATCATCCATCTGTTTATGGTCCGTCTGTCCCCGAACTCGAGGGTTGGACTCTATGATGGTTAATTCTATTGAAAAGTGCACTTCTTTAAACAATGAAGTATTGTCCATGCTTTTCCGAACAACTGAGGGCGCTGTTGCTGTGATGTCACTTCAGGAAGACACTGTTTACTTTAGGGGTTTTCTGTTCAAATTGTGAACCCACAAATTTGCTCATTGAAAACATTTGCGAGAAAAAGTTTGCTCATTGGCTTTACTGCATGAACTGACACAACAACGAACTACTGAAAGAAAACAAAATTTACGACACCAAAATATCCAAAATTCCGGCAACTTTTGGTGCTGAAATAGCTGTAACATTGAGGTTTTTGCCTGAAATGACATCACACTTTGGCTCATGAATATGAAAATTGGCATTGGCATAAAAACCAAAAAGGCACCCTTGAAAATGGCAATTAACGAAAATTGTAAGTAAGATTAAATGGAACACAAAGATGCATTGTCAAGGATTGCATTGGGCCCTTTGGACTTTCGAAATTATGGCCAACTATAGATTGTGATCAATCGTCTTTACTCTTACAGTTTCCCTTGATGCTCTAGGGAAGGGATAAGCAAGCGTTTTGTCCAATTGACAAGCAATTGTGGTCCTTTGGTGAGATTGGAACCACTCTCTTCAAGAAAAATACGATTAAAATTAGTAAGTGTCAGCTTACCGCCTATCACAAAACAAACGGATGACGGATAAACATGCAATGAGCGAGGCCGGAAATATCTATCAGCGACCCACTCATAGCGAGCTAGGCTGGAAATATCAGGGTGTGCTACCCGCAGATGATGGCCTGAACCCGTCTGGCATCGAGGTTCTTGAAAAAAAAATCCCATGCCTGGGTCCGGTCAATGTTAAAATAATCCTGGCGCAAAGTGGTTAACAAAAGTTTGGAAAAAAAATGAGATTCTTTAAAAAATGGGATTGTTAATGTAAACACTAAAGTCATGTTCTTGTTTTTTTTTCATTTCACCCCAGTCAATACATATCTGGATATAGTACACGATTACTCGGAGGAGCAGTTTGAGATGACGTACTACGACCACCAACCCAACGACAACTCTCCCACGGAAAACTTCTATCCCAACGGCAGCGGGGAATACCAGAGTAGCGAACAGTTCTTTCTGGAAACGTACTATAGTAACGGGATGGTGAACGGTCGCCGGCCGGTGTCGGGAGCCAGTTACGCCGAGATTGACGATCGATCGGAGAGTTCAGCTGAAGGGACGGAACCGCCAGCGTTGCCCATCAAGAGACGAAGTTCAACCTCAACGTCACCTGTGAGTTTATTGGATTCTAGCCTAAACCAAAAAAGGCCACTTTTGTCCCCTCCAAAAAAATGTCGCTTAACAAGAAAGTTGAACATTTCTTAATCTCAGTTGAAGCAAACGACACCTTTTTTTAAAGGTTGAGTGTATCATTTGACAGTTGTGCATTTTTTTTCATTTGGAGCAACAAAAGTGCTCAAAATCTAAAGACGGGTGCTTAACAACTAGCCTGATGAAGTTTTGGCTCAGTGAATGCTGTATATTCCGACAAAAACAATATTCTAGGATCTTGATTTGAGTTCAAAAGTTGTTCATGTTTTGAAGTGCGCCTGAAATCAGCGTCAGGGACACGTTCTCATTCAGGCGATTATATCAACCGTGGCTGTGTGTGCGTCTTGTCAACACTTGCGCACACCCATTCACGGCTTTGCCGAATAAAAAACTCATTACTAACAGAAATTTCAAAAAATGCGTCTTTAGTTTAGTGCCATTACTATCTTTAAACTAATCAACATTGATTTCGTCAGTCACTTTTTGGATAGCTGCAAATCATATACTCTACCTTTAGACCTTAATAAACCATGCTATATCACAATTTCAAACTGTATTAAAATTATGAACTTTCAAATTCAAAATGATATACTAACATAATGTGACCTGCCATAGCATAATGAGGAATAACCCCCACTTTTACTTTTCACATTATGTACATCATGTTAAAGCGCAAAAAGACACTCATTGCGCCGCCAACGGCAGTGAAAATGTTCTTCAGTTTTTCCACTTTTGTGGGTACTTTTCGCCCAACAAAAAGGCATAGATTGTATCTTGAATACCTTGGCTACTCAAAAATACAAAACAATCACTATCGATTTTGAGTTGATTTTTCTAGAATACCGGTATCCGACTTCAGGCGTCAATTACTCAGAAACAAGATTTTGGGGGACATTCCTCATTTTGCCTCAGTAGGTCACATATATTTGAATACCTCCCAATTCAGTCCATGACTGCTTGTAGAATTTCATTATCTCTAAAAGTTTATTACCTTGGTGGTTTTTAAATTTTGTTTTCAGCCCTTGAGAACGAGGCACTACACCAACCCAGAGCGTCCCATCATGCCCTTGTACAACCTCAAGAAGAAATCGGAGAGTATGATTGAGGGTGGCAATGAACCAAATGTGTAAGCAACTAAGAAGTCTAAACTTACATTAGTTTTATTTGATTTATCGGCTTCGTACATACCTGCCAATCGCCCCTATTCAGTAGGAATCGTCCCTGTTTTTAAGTTTTTGTATTAAAAAAATCAGGATGTTCTGATCTCTATAAAATACAGGGAGAGTTAAAAAAAAAGAAACCCAAATGTCGGGACTATTATTTCAGTGAAGTTCTGCATGTAGCATTTTCAAAATCTAGGATATGAAAGCCCAATTCATAAGCTTTCTTTTAGTACGAGAATCATTCAAATCACTCATGTGCTTTTCAAGTTATGGAATTTTAAACACAACCACCGTTTTAAAGTTCTGTCCACGGATCACAGAAAAGGTGTGCATTCTTTAAGCAAAACAAAAAAAATTCACACACATCCCTGTGTGATTTGTTTTCGTTTTGCTTAAAGAACACTTACATTCTTGTGATCCGTGGACAGAACTTTAAAACGGTGGTTGTGCTTAAAATTCTGTTACTTGAAAAGTGCATAAGTGATTTGAATGATTCTTGTATTAAAAGAAAGCGTATGAATTAGGGTTTCATATCCTAGATTTTGAAAGTGCTACATGCAGAACTTAACTAAAACAATGGTCCAGACATTTCGGTTTCGTGGGTTTTTTTTTTACTCACCCTGTATAGAGGGAACAGTTTTCATCCACTTTATATTCACCATATATAGCGAGGAAACATAGCGGCTGGCAGTACCAGACCACTGTTGTCAGGAACCAGTTCCAGATTATGGGATCCGGTACCTGCAACCAACTTTACAAATTACTTAATAAGTTCTCAGACAGTAAAAAAAAGAAAGGTTTTGAATGCCATTCGTGGGGAATTTTCAAAATGAAAACCAGGCTACATAGAAAACCTGAACACATTTCATGTTTTTATGGGCATTTTAAAGTTGCAAATCCTTGGACCGCCATCCAGTAATGTCACTATGTCAAGCTTTCAAACGTTGGCAGGTATGTTCGTAGGATAAAGTGTTCTCAGGTCGGTCACCAGAAATGTTTTTATACATTCTGTGTGGTTTTAAGTTGAAATTTGTCCCCATTGCATAAAAAATGTCTTTGTACAAAAACAAACTTCTATTACCATAGCTTTTATGAATTCTTGTATTGGAAATAGACCATTGCTTTAAAGCTCAGTCAGGTTATAGCCATTTTGGTCTTGTTCCTGTTGAGCACGTAATTGCCAAACCATTCACATCAGTAATTGTTACCAGTCTCTAATTTTAAAACCATGTGCCGTTTGTCTCATGTGATATGTCGCGTGATCTTTTCAGCGGGAACATTGATCACATGAACAGCAGCAATCACAAGTCACATGATGAGAGTAAAGACAAGTCAGCTGACGTGATGCATGAGGATCTTGGGACGTTGGGACACCTTGATGCCTCCAAACAACTCGTCCAAGCCACTGTGGTAAATTACATCTTAAACTTTTTTTTACAAACCTTCAAAATAGTAGACAGGTGTGGTTTGAACCACGAATACCACAGATGGAAGGCAAGGATAGGACCACTGTCCTTACTTGATCAATTTTTTTTAAATAATTTTTTTTATTCGTCATGCTGACAATATAGTTTAAAATAAAATGAACAATGTAAGTAAAAAGAAACAGTTTATATATATTGTTGGGTAACTTATTTAAATGTCAGGAGAAACTAAGCCAACATTTTGAATTTTAATGTACTGTAGCCCTTTACTCCCTGTACCGCCCCAAACCACCCAGCCTATTACTCCCTGTATCGCCCCAAACTTCCCTGCCTAATACTCCCTGTACTGCCCCAAAACACCCTGCCTAATACTCCCTGTACCGCCCCATACCGCCCTGCCTATTACTCCCTTTATCGCCCCATTCCGCCCTGCCTAATACTCCCTGTCCCGCCTCACACCGCCCTGCCTAATACTCCCTGTACCACCCTAAACCACCCTGCCTAATACTCCCTGTATCGCCCCACACGGCCCTGCCTATAACTCCCTGTACCCGTCCTAAACCGCCCTGCCTAATATTCCCTGTACCGCCCTAAACCACCCTGCTTAATATTGCCGGTATCACCCAAAACTGCCCTGCCTATCACTCTCTGTACCGCCCCAAACTGCCCTGCCTAATACTCCCTGTACTGCCCTAAACCACCCTGCCTAATACTCCCTGTACCGCCCTAAACCACCCTGCCTAATATTGCCTGTATCACCCAAAACTGCCCTGCCTATCACTCTCTGTACCGCCCCAAACTGCCCTGCCTAATACTCCCTGTACTGCCCTAAACCACCCTGCCTAATACTCCCTGTATCGCCCTACACTGCCCTGCCTATAACTCCCTTTATCGCCCCAAACTGCCCTGCCTAATACTCCCTGTACTGCCCTAAACCACCCTGCCTAATATTCCCTAGCTGTATCACCCAAAACTGCCCTGCCTATTACTCTGTACTGCCCCAAACTGCCCTGCCTAATACTCCCTGTACTGCCCTAAACCACCCTGCCTAATATTCCCTAGCTGTATCACCCAAAACTGCCCTGCCTATTACTCTGTACTGCCCCAAACTGCCCTGCCTGATACTCACTGTATGCCCAAAACCTCCCAAGCACTCTATAGTTTTATTGATTCTTCAGTGAATAAATACAATGTAATACAATGTAGTTCAGTGTAATTCAATGTAATACAATGTAGAACAGGTGCTAATGTGTTAATCTTTCATTTTCATTTGTTTAGGATGGCAAGAATCAGATCAAAGGTGGGCCTATTGATGCGTTGATTGTTTACGCAGCTGATGCAGACAGAAAAGGTAAACATAAACAATAAACAAATAATTGGTATCTATAAAAATATCCTTCTTTCCTAAAATTTTGATTAAGGCAAGTTTTGGCTACCCGTGGATTCATGATATGTTCTGATGTCCTTCAAAAGATAAAGTTGATACCTAGTTTTTTTTCCGAAGTTTTTCTCAGTGATGTTTTAGAGGCCATACCTTGAAATACCTTTGGTACTGTTTATTGTAATTCTGATCGAAATGTGATTCTCATTCCAAATAATATCACTCTCTGTTACATATAATTACAATGTTGCACAGAGATTATAGTGTTTGGTGTTTTGAGAATAACTGACTTGGGTTGAATTGAGTGAATTAACAAACACTTGTTCCATTTCTTTCAGACCTTTTCTACTATGAAGCGTTCCTGACGACGTACAGGATGTTCATCAAATCCAACGATCTGCTGGACAAGTTGCTGAGTCGATACAAGAAGTTCCGCCATAAGTCAGACATGAAGTCCAAGCGAGCCAATCGCAACGCATTCTTCCTGCTACTGCGAGTAGCTGGAGATTTAATGTAAGTAAACTCATTTAGTTGCAACTTACTGTTTATTTCAGTATGTTTTTTATTTCTAAGATATATCAAAGTTTTGTGCTTTAAAATAAATCATATCCAGTGTTATAACAGTGATTTACATAAAGCCACAGTTTATTTATTCATTGTTAACAGTGTAATAGTTGTGCCTTCAATTTTTGAACTGAATAAATATATTTTATTTATGAGAAATTTATAAAAATTTGAATAGTCGTTATTTATTGCAGCATAAACATTATGACATCAGATAGCTACTAATTCAGTTTGTACTTCCAAGAATAGTTTGAAAACCTGACTACACGTGGAAGCATTTAGTGACTTTTAATATTGCTTGTATTGAGCAGTTTATCTTAATTCAGGATGTGACTTTCAGATACTTTTCTGCATATGATTTCATTGTCACATGAGCGCTATGAGCGCCGGTTGCAACGGATACCGGCGCCTTATGCATTTCCATTATTATTATTAGTATTATTCATTTCATTTATAGAAATGATGGAATCTTAAGAGCTTTTTCTTTGCTGTGAAGTGAAATCACAAGTTAAACGTTGACATGGGCATCATTTCCATTGTGTGTGCGATGTTGTTTGCCCACTGAGCGGAGATAATGTTTCTCCTTCGCCGTTATCCATGTAATCCCTTCTGATTGACGGCTCGATAACGTCTTCCTTTCTCCAGAGGTCAAGTGGAAGATGACATCTTGAAGATGCTGATGGAACTCGTCTTTCAACTCCTGTGCGACGGGGAGCTGATGTTGGCCAAGATCCTCAGGGACAAAGTCCTGACGAAGATCGACGACAACAAGCTGGCTCTTCAGCTGAGTAACAAACTCCCTCTGTCTGGACTAGGAGTCTCTGTCATGTATGTATACGTTATATTTGGTGGTTTCTGTAAATTTCACAGACTTGCTTGGGAAGGACTTGGACCTGAGACCTTAACTAAACATAATAATGACAATAATAACTGGATTTATAGAGCGCCAAATAAAGAATGAAACAAGGAAAGAAGACAAAGAAAAGAGGACAGCCAGCTACAATGTGGGGAAAAGGTGGGTCTTGATAACCTTTTTGAAGGACAAAACACTGCCAGAATTTCTGATGGGGATGGGTAGGCTATTCCAAAACCGAGGGGCTATACAAGGGTCCGACCTTAAGTTTTTTCACTAGCCAGCTTGGCTACTGAAACAGACTCTTAACTAGCCCGCGGGCAGTTTCACTAGCCCGCATGTTTTTTCTTTTATAGAGTGTCTCATAAACATCAGTGTGCATACATAAAGAAAGTGTATCCTGAAGCAATCTTGTCATTGTTTTTAATAAGAGATCTTATGATTTAACCCTAAACAGTTAATACATTTAGACACAAATTGATACAGGTTTGCTTTCCGAATTCAATGATTTGTTTCTTCCTGTCCTTTCATCTTTGCTGTAGCCCCCAATAATTTTTGACTCACCTGCCCGACTGCCTGGGAAATAGTTTGACTAGCCCGCCGCTGTTTTAACTAGCATTTGGCTAGCTAAAGTTGAACCCTGGCTATACATGATTTTGAAATTTAATGTTGGGTTTTGCCCTTAAGCAGTTTAATTTCCTAGGTACTGCATACTCATTGCTGTCGAGAGCTCGTAAATGTTTGTTTGTTTTTTTTTTTTTTTTTTCCCGTTTCATGCGTATTTGCATGTTTTGTTTCCCTCATACAGGAAAGCTACTTTGCTGGACTTCAACAGCTTAGACATAGCCGAGCAGATGACTATCTTAGACTCGGAGTTGTTTCAGAAGATCGAGATTCCTGAGGTTCTACTCTGGGCGAAGGAACAATCAGAAGCCCTGAGTCCCAACTTGACAATCTTCACGGAACACTTCAATAAGATGTCGTACTGGTAAGAAGCGCTGGATTACTCATACTTGGACTCCAGGACTTGCCTCTGTACTTGTACTCATATTTGCCCCCCCCCCCCCCCCCCCCCGAAAAGAAGTTTTTTCTTGTCTACTTCTTTTCTCATTTGACTGATGTCTGTAGTTATTGATGTTTCAGAAATAAATGGGTACATGTGAGGGTCAAAGTCTGATTGAGCACTGATATCGACTGGCGCATGGTCTCGTGGCCTGATGAAAGGGAGAATAATTGTAAAGCACTTTGAGATTGTCGATACAATGGAAAGCGCTATATAAGCACTATATACAAACTTCTGAGCTAACTGTCCCAGACAGCTCAATGGAAGAGTTAGTGGTATATCTGCCAAGTTAAGCACCATTGACCGTGGTCAGTAGTTGGATGGGAGACCATTCCATGTATTGCCCTGGTTGGTGGCTTGTCTGGGACATGATTGGGCTCCTTCATCTTGGCCCACGTCTTTCGGATGGGACGTAAAACTGCAGGTCCTGTGCATTGTCTAATGCACATCAAACACCTAGGACACTTACCGTGAAAGAGCCGGGGCTTGCCCCAGTGTTTCTGGAATCGGCTGTGTAATGCGCCCTCTCTGAGCATTTTGGAGTATAGTTTATGCGATGCGCATTTGAACATATTCACATGGACTACAAATATAAATATAAGTGAATAAATTATAACTTACTTTAAGTTTACTTGCGTACTGCCTGTCTGAGACTCCATGAACTGGAGAAATGTAAGAAAGAAATCTGTGGCTTTAGCAAAATTGGCAACTTAAAGTAATAACTGTTTGTGATCTTGAAAATGTACCACTAAATATCAACTTAGCCTGCATGAAACAAACATTGGAGTCTTTGCATGTTTCTATTTCAAAAGCAACTGACAAATTCTAGTAACAGACCCCAAATTGCCCACTTTAATTGAAACTTGATTGAAATCTAAAGGTTGACATTTTTTTGTGGTGTTCAGGGCACGATCGTTGATCCTTCAAGAAAACAGGCCCCAGGATCGAGAGAAACTTGTCACCAAGTTCATCAAGGTCATGAAGGTGAGAGTGCAGTAATTACTGAAGCATGCCAACTGTGTTGTCAAGTTTATAAATAATGATTGGAATTTCATTCAAAAAGCTAACTACTCAAATGAGACTTGAAAGGTAATATATACAACATTTGCTTTTGCTGTAATTTTCAGAATTGGATTCATTTTCAGTAAATGAATGTATTTTCAGAAATGTAATTTTCAGAAATGGATGGATTTGGGTGTTAGTATTTAATAGCAAATATTGTTTCACTGACCTGTTTAAAGTATTGTGTTCATAGATGCAGGGGAAAAAACAATAACAAAAATGCAGTTCTTGTAGTCTGGTTCCCTGACCCCTGCTTCGGACAAAACAGAGCAATTTATAGATGTCAGGGAATTATCAGGTCAGGGAACCAGACTAGCTGGCTTGCACCCATTCATGGATGAGTAACCGATTGCAAACAAAATGTGGACGCACTAAATTTGGTAAATTGGGGCAGTATTTGAAGAAAAAAAAATGTTTTTTTCCCTAATGGTGGTCGGCCAACCATTGTTGGAAATTGAGACAAAAATGTGACTTTTCTTGAAAATGACAGCACACCAGGTACCATGATTTCACAGGATGCTTGAGACTATTATCACTTACAGTCAAGTAAGGTATTTCATAAGAATTTGGTAGTTTTGTTTTTTGATGTTTGTAAATGTTGTTATATTACCTTTTAAAATACCTTAGGTAAGAAAAAGCTGAAAAAATGAGTTGTCCTTATTTGGACATCAAAAGTTACTCGCTTTTGCTCAAACTATTTCCAAAATACACAAATATGACAATTGACATCAGCTGGAAAAATATGTTGTAATTAAAATTCACATGACATCCTGTTTGAGTTGCTTATTTTGACGTTGCATTTCCTGTGGTCGGAAAACTTTAAAATCGCCATACATCAAAACGTTCTCGCTTGCTGAAACTGTTTCCAAATAGACAAATACATGTAGGTCAGGTGACATCGACTAGAACCATGTGTTGTATTGATTAAAGTTCCCGTGACATCCTATTTGAGTTGTTCACTTTCACGTTGTACTTCCTGTGGGCGGAAAACTTTCAAATCGCCTTACATGCTTCATTTCCTGCCATTCGTGCCCTCTTTTGTAATTAGCTTTTGCGTGTTGTTTTGGGGAGGGCGGTTTCAATATGGAAGCAATAATTAACGTCTGGATTGGGGACTACTTTCGTATTTATCTCCTGTCGCAGGAAGTGTGGAATTTTATGAGTGCAACACACCTTTCGTTTTTGAAGTTGATTTTTGTTTTTCTTCTAAAGTTCTACAGTGCAATAAGAATGACAAATGAGTTTATGAAAAAAATCTCTTCTATCTTTCTGTTTTGTTTTTGAAATTAACATTCATGTTGCAATACTTAGAGAATTTGCAAGAATTTGTCGTGACAACGGGCAGAGCATACTGTCCAAAACAGCTGAATTGAGAACCTCACAAACTCACAAAAGAGATTGGTCGCATGGTGCTACCATAAATCTTGATCTTATAGGCTTTATTCATGAGTTGACCAAATGAAATTGAAAGGGAGATAAAATCTTCATTTTTGGAACTTGCGAATAGAAATGAAAGCAGTGAAATAAAGGTAATTACAAATTAACACCAGTCTGCTCTGATGAATAATTAAAAATTTGGGATTAAACATACCTGATGTTTTTAGCCACATTTAAAAACAAAATGAGAGTGAGGCTTAGGTTAGATCGCATAAATAGTCTGGCACCATCCCATTCAACAGTTTACAATTTATAAAATACATTCAGGGAACATGATCAAAATGGCTTCCTCGGAATAAGGTATATTGCAATAATTTAAGCAGTGTACCTAGTGGTAATTTTCCATTATCTAAATATGCCTAAAATTGTTTTGTAAAAAAAACAAAACCCCAAAACATTCTTTAAAACCTTTTCCAGAAATCTTATTTTAAAAATTAGTCTTCCATAACTGACTTGCCTTTCGATCCAAAAATGTATCAGTTCCCTTCCCCAATTATCCTGAGAAAGTCAGTCACAAGCCAATGCGGCCCATCAGGCCGGCGTTTATCTCCGGTTTCAGTGGCATGAAACGACTGAGAACATACTCTTCCTGGATGGGATGCTAGTCCATCGCAGGTTACTCCCCAGCTAATGCAGGTACCCATTTACACTCCTGGGTGGAGAGAGGCAAGTGGGGGTGAAGTGGCTTGCCCAAGGACACAACGTATGACCAGCAGCTGTATTCAAACCCCTAACCTCTGATCTTGCGTTACGAATCCTAACCACTAGGCTACACTACCCCACAAGAAGATACTCAGGGGGAAGTCTCATGTCAATCATTGGCATTCATTTCATCTTGATAACGGTCTTGTGATTTTTCTTTGTTTTTCGCAGCATCTGAGGAAGCTGAATAATTTCAACTCGTATCTGGCGATCCTGTCTGCGTTAGACTCAGCTCCCATTAGGAGACTAGAATGGCAGAAACAAACGGTCGAGGTAATTTGGACAAAAAATAATAATCAGTGATTAAAATATGACAAAGTTTGAAACAAAAGTGGGCCGGGTTTGCAAAGGGGTGAGCTGGATTGATTGTAGTAGATCACCTTTTCTTGCAATGTGAAATGTTTTATCAATTGTTATAGACTGACAGTTATAAGTGTCGGCATATTGCTTTCAGAATCAGATATATGAGGTGTTCTGGCAAAATGAGACGGAACTGGGCACAGGCCATAGTGGAGAAAAATACAAAAACTAAATGGGGGTGATTTTTTTTATCGATATTTACAACCTTTGATATGTCTACCACACATATTTTAAAGAAATAGTATAAAAATCATTGGGAAAAAAGTGTTTTTAAGGAGAAGCAATTGGCATCTTTCATTTGCACGACAACAAAACTCGAAACTTTAAAGGCCTTTTTCTCTGTATTTTACTTTTTGACATGTCGATAAATGCACTTAAAACAGCCATAACTTGTCAACGGAATGTCTGATTGAATTGCAACAAACATTATTGTAAGGAGAATTCTATTGTCTTTCCTAATAACCACACACCCTTATTTCAACCTCTGCCCAGTTCTGTGTCATTTTGCCAGAATGCCTCATGGACAAATTTCTATCTGTTCTATCTAGGAAATCCAATCCTAGAAACTGTTTTATTCTTGTGAGAGACATTTTAGTAATTGGTTTGTTTTTGTTTTCTCTCTTAGGGGTTGCAGGAATACTGTCAGCTGATTGATAGTTCCGCATCATTCAGGACGTACAGAGCCGCACTGGCTGAAGCTGAACCACCCTGCATACCCTACCTGTGAGTAAAGTCTGTTTTGTCTGTTGGTTGTTATGTCTGTGTATATGTAGGTGTATATTGTCCTGGGGCTGAACCACCCTTTGAGTGATGTCTGTCGGTTGGTTGGTTGGCTGGTCTGTCTGTTTGTGTCCAGCTATATTGTCCTGGGGTGAACCACCCTTTGGGTGATGTCTGTTAGTTGGTCAGCTGGTTGGTTGGTGTGTCTGTGTTTGTGTTCGTCTATATTGCTCTGGTGCTGAACCACCCTGTGGGTGATGTCTGTTAGTTGGTCAGTTGGTTGGATGGTGTGTCTGTGTTTGTGTCCGTCTACATTGCTCTGGTGCTGAACCACCCTTTAAGTAATGTCTGTTAGTTGGTTGGTTGGTTGGTTGGTCTGTCTGTCTGTCTGTGTTTGTGTCCCTAATTTTGTCCTGGTGAGTGATGTCTGTTAGTTGGTAAGCCTTTCTTTGTTTGTCTCATGCATCATTGTTCATAGCCACGCATAATGGTATTGTGCAAAAACTATAGAGGGCGCTGTTGTATCTATTAGTATGCCGTGATTTCTAATTCGTCTCATATTTCTGACTTATTCTCCTCAGCGGGCTAATCCTGCAGGACATCACGTTTGTCCACATCGGTAATCCAGACTTACTGCCGGACAGCGACCACATCAACTTCACGAAATCCTGGCAGTTCTATAACATTCTGGACAGCATGCGTAGATTCAAACAACAGTGAGTCATATCAAAGATCACGTCAACTTTTTAACTGTTAATTAAATCTCCTATGCAAAGATGCATTCCGTGCAAAGTTGTCCTTTCAGTCAAAATCAATCAAGTGACTGTTTTTAACAGTTTAGAGCGCCCAGCCTACATAAAACAGGATTGACTGGCTGTGACTGTTAATGTAACTTGATACAGCTATGCTTTGACTGTAGGCGATTGATAAGCCAGCTGTGCCTGCCACTTGCCTGCTTTTGTCTGTTGACTGAATTTGACTAGTCACAGTGCTTGCTGGAAATATGATCTGACTGTTGGTGAAGAGCCTGTGTAAAAGGCATGGCAGGGAAGAGGAATGATGTTTTGACTGTCTGTGACTGTTCAGACAGCAGGAGGGTTAAAAGATTATATATATGGAACATTCCAAAATGGTGTTGTTCTTGTGGAATACCAAAACTGATTTATAAAAAAAACATCTTTTCAAGTTTCATCATTTCACACTTTGTGATGTTAATTTTTCCCATCACTTCAAGCGTTAATTCATTACAATTATGTCCACAGCTCAGTTGAGGATGATGTGGCTTGGTTCAGTATTCTCCCCCCCAAAAAACTTGTAAAATGCCTTTTTATGCTAATTTTCTCCATTATTTTGCTTAATCCCAGTCACTATGACAACCTGAGGAAGTCTCCCAAGGTCCTGGCCTTCTTCAATGATTTCATCGATTTCTTGGACGAGGAGTCCATGTGGCAACTGTCCAAGACGATCAAGCCGCAAGGAAGTGGACGACCCAAGCCAACGACATGAGATCAAAGGTCGTGGAACCAGTGCAAATGAGCGGGCTTGGTAGTACTACTGCACCTTTGGTCGATAGGACCGAGGTTCGAATTCCATTCTGCACAAGCATCTGTATGTGGAACGGTTTCATCTTCATTATACCCGAGAGTTGTCTGAAAAAGACCACCACATTTCTGTCTTTGATAATTCCCTCCATTTTAAAGGTAATAACAGGGTACTCATTCTTTGTTGACTGACTTTTTGGTTGACATATAAAGTCAAAGTCTTGATCTGTGTATTTTGGAAGACTTTCCAGATAAGTTTGCTTTTCCCTTTTGCTGCATAATATGAACTTCAGCGCGTCCCAAGATACCTGCAACTTTTTTTTTTGCGAGGCTGTAGCGTCGGCGCGGAAACATGTACCGCCATTATTTTTTACCATTTTAAAGCTTGGAATCTTAACTTTATCCCTGGGGAGTATTGGTTTGATATTTAAAAGAGTTTTAAAATTATTTGTGATCAAAGAAAGACATGTCAAAAACAAACTCAACCGATTTTAAAGAAAATCGATGATGCGGTACATCAGATGCAAACTCGAGTCAACAAGCTGTTGAAATAAAACAAAAAAGTTGATATATATTAAAAACACATTGAATTTGAAACAAAGAACAATATTGTGAATTTATTTAAGGTGTAGTCTACGTGGATCGAAAAGACAAAAAAAACACCACAAAAATAAAAGGCAACGACATCGTCACATCATGAACATGATGAAGCATTTCCGCATTAGAAAAAAATGCACATGATTGATTTTCCTTGAAATCGGTTGGGTTTGTTTTTGAACACAAATTACAAAACCCTTTTGAAAATCAAAACAACGCTTACCAGGGATAAAGTTAAGACTCCAAGCTTTAAAATGATGTAAAAATAATGGCCGTACGTGTTTCCGCGGCGACGCTAGAGCCTTGCAAAAAAGATTTGCGGGTATTTTGGGACGTGCTGTAGACTCTTTTCCAGCCTTGTTCTTTCTTTCCCTTTAGGGAACCAGTATACTTATGTAGATCACTGTACTGATAATGTACTACTGCATTGCAAGCTGGGATAAGATTATTAGGATCTAGGAGCGTAACAACAGCCATAAACTGGGGATTAAATCAATCGTGATAATTTCTAATCAGTCTGTGAGAGATGTTTTAAATATAAATGTCAAAGAGTAGACACCATTTGATCGGAACATCCTAATAAACTAGAAAAAAATATCTGGGGGTAAGGAAAAAGTAAACTTTATAAAAGAGTTTTGCTTTTTTAAGTGTATCACTCATAATGTCACCATGGAAACAGAGCAGTTCCTGTTTCTAATTTCCAATGGACCAGGTCAAGTTTACATTGACCTAAGTCAAAGGTCGCTATGTGTACCTTGCAAGGCCAGTATTAGGTGTAGGGTGGTTTTCTAAATGTGTGTCAAAGTTGTAACTATATCACGATGAATGTAAATTAATGTTTAAACTCTCCAACTGGTAGTGCAAATATAATATATTTATTAAAAGTTTCTTGCTGCTTGCCCTTGGAAAATCGTCCCCTTTTGTGGAGTTTTGACTCTTATGCACATAGCCTGTACTAGTTTATTCACGTGTTTTGGTCAGAGTACTGCTGTCAGTGTATTGCAGCGTTACAAATACTGTAAGTGTCTTTTTTGTTTCACCTTACCAAATCTTTCAAAAAAAAATTTCCAATTGGGCGAAGATTCTAGTGCAGACGTCTGAAAAAAAAAAAAAAATCGGTCTCTGGTCAGACGGAAGTTCCGGAATTGATGCGGCGCCGCGTTTTTTTTTGGGGGGGGGGTGTTTTTTTTTTTTTTTTCCAAGCTTGAATTGTACAGGCAAGGTGGGTACTATTTTGCTTTTTTGTGTCCTCATTATACATTGGTGTCCTCCATAATTTGCCTTAGTGCCCTTTATCATTTGCCTTGGTGCAATTTCCCCATTCCATGGTGCTCCATGGTACAAAAATTTGAGGAGGTGCGGCAATAGAAGGCGCTGTTGTAGCTTCCGTGTTAATTTGAAGAAAAAAAAGGTTGACGCGCATGATTACAATCGACGCGCACGCTGACCAGAGACCGAGTGTTTTTTTTTTTTGGCCTTGCCACTCGACAGCTGAGCTTGCCGGGGTCGGCTGGTTGTTCGAAATCTGATATAGCACTGGGTACTGCAACCAAACTGTTCCAAGATGGAATTTGCGTCGGGTGACCCTTACCTACCCGGGCCCAAATTCCATCTTTGAATTGCCTACCCATGTTTGATTGGACCCGGTTCTGCTTAAGGTGGACCCCTGTTGATTTCAACAAGGTTAGGGTAGGCCTTTAGATTCAGCAAGGTTGTCATTGAAATGTGAAGGACATAAATTATTTCCATTCACGATTTGGGAGGGGGGGAGTGTGCACAAGTACAAACTTGATTAATGTAATTTATAAAGAAAGTCCAATTTGCAATGTACTAGTGGTAAGAGTTACTAAAAGCTGCCTTAAAAATTTGATTTTGAGAGGAATTTTGGTTGTTATTTAGGCCAACGAAATAATTCTGTTGCCGTCATCCGACCGACCCAAAAATCAGGAAATCTCTGGTCGTTTCTTGCTTGTTTGTTTTTTTTCACTAGAATTTTTTTTTAAATGACCTTTAACCTTACCGTTACTGTTTCTTTGTAATGCAATAATTTTGCATTTTGTTACAAAACGTACACACCTGAATGGTAGTACAGTTCAAATTTACCGAATTTTGTACGCGTTACTGAGGCTGAGGCTTGGGCATGTGGTCTGATGTACTGCATACATTGTACACAGTACCGCATGCATGTTCATGTTCACAATTTAGTTGGCGCATGCAGTACATGTAGCCTAAGCATTTCGTGTCAATGGTAGAGGGGAACTGGTAACCAAATGGAATGGAAGAAAGAGTAGGCCTTTACTATGTATAGCCCGCCCCGCCCCTCCCCCCCCCCCCCCCCCCCCCCATTTTAAAAATATTTTCTCAACCGACCGACCCTCCAGATATTTTTCATGTGACGGCAACACAATTTTTTTTTTATGGTCTTATCCTAAATTCATATCTCAGTCTCTCTTTCAGTATTGACTTGTTTTTACGTATGCAAATTGGTGTATAAATGCAACGTTTGTGCCCAATGTTTCTGCCATTGTTGACTATGCACGTAGAAGTTTCAGAGGCTTGTAGACAATATTGCAAGATATACGAGACGTAAATGTAAAAAATATCCATGTGAAATATGTAAAGAAGCTGCCTTTGTGTGTAACAGAGATAAAAGTGGTCGAACAATTTGTACGAAAAAAAATAATTAACTGCCGACGTATTTTTGGCTATAAACGGAAGACTGAAATCAAAACTCAGAAATTGTAAATAACTCAAGTAATCAAGACGAAAAAGTGAAACTTGTCATTTCTATCGTGGGTTCATACAAAGCAAAACACAATTGGATGACAACAGAAAACAGGGAAAATCTATTTTTAATCGGAAGTGTTTCAAGGAAAAATGGCTGAACAAATTGGGTTTACTTTCATATATCATGTCAACACCAGCAATAAGGTTTTCTGATGTTACAAAAAAACTGACTTGTTTTGGAACTTCAACTAAAAAATATACAGAAAGCAAAGACAGAGTTTTACAGACGGCATAGAGAAATGTTCATTTAGTTGCGTGTTTGGGTAAACTTTGAGTATGAATTGAACCATTTTCGTTTGAGCTGCCTGACTTTCAAAAACAAAAAACAAACCAACTACAGAATTTTATGTTGAATTTTAACATTTTTTGCAGTCAACTCATGCGTTTGTACAGTGTCATTTTGTTAAATGTTTTGCTATGCACATTTATCCAGTTTACAATTTTATTTCCTCCGAGATTTGTCCCCTTTTAAAGTGTTTGTCTGCCCCATGAATGTGTCTCTTTTTAAAGAACTTGCGAGTTTACAAAATGTTTAATCAAATATTAAAAAAACAATCAGTAATGCTTTGGAAAAATTTTAAGAGAAAATATTGTGATTAAGGACATAACCTAGAAAATCAAGCATAGTGTTGAATTCAAGTTTGCATAATTTCTCTTTTGTTGGCTCTGGATTTTTGTCATTGTCTATAAATAATGTTGAAACTTGTACCTGTATGTATATATTTATATATATACCAACATTAAATAGCGATTGTAGAGTTTTAAATGCCGCTCGACCATGTTGGCAGTGTACAGCTTGTGATGAAAGATAGCATTTATTGAACTATATTAAAATTGATGGAGAAATGAAAGCATCACGCAAACAGAAAGGTTTTGTTGTTGTAGTACCTTTATTGTTTTATAAATGAAAGTTTGACAATCCTTTTATAGGTTTTAATGCCAGAGCCATCTTTGAAATCTCGGCTGGAGTGCAGACTGCGGCTCTTGCTTATAAAGATAATATACAACATTTGCAAACATCAAAACACAAAACTACCAAATTATTATGAAATACCTTACTTGACTGTAAGTGAATAATAGTCTCAAGCATCCTGTGAAATCATGGCACCTGGTGTGCTGCCATGTGGAATTTTCGTATCAATTTCCAAACTGACTTTTTCCAAATAGTGTCCCCAATTTACTAAATTGTGTTTGCATCAGTTACACATCCGTGAATGGGTGCAAGCCAGCTAGTCTGGTTCCCTGACCTGACAATTCCCAGACGTCTATAAAATGCTCCATTTTGTCTGAAGTAAGGTCAGGGAACCAGACTACAAGAACAGTTTTTCCGGCATCTATGAACACAAAACTTTGAACAGGTCAGTGTAATATTTGCTATAAAATACTAACCCCCAAATCCATCCTTTTTTTAAACTTACAGCAAAAGCAAATGTTGTATATTACCTTTAACTGGTTTCACAACTTAAATCCTTTTAATGTAGATGTAACCTGACATTTCAAACCACAGCCCCCCCCCCCCCAAAAAGTACTCTGTATGGCTAAAAACGTATCAAATGCAAGACTATTAACATTTAGGAAAATCTGCATATGCTACGATGTGATGGCCTCTATTTCAAGATACACTAATCCCAAACACATCATTGATAAGTTAAAACAAAAACAGATCCCTAAAAGTTATTCACAGATTCACAGCTACATGTATGTACAAAAATTACAATCCAACAAGTGATATGCCCAAATGTGCAACTCCACACTGATTTTTGTTTCGAGGAGATAATCACGTATTTTGACAACCAACCACCACAAGAGGGGGCTGTTTACCACTAACGGCTACCGTTATGCACTTGGAAAAGTGGGCTTGCACAGAGTACTTCCCACAGAAGAGCGGGGTGAATTTTGACCATTGAGATGTATATGCTTATAGTGCATTTATGCCAGGAAATAATTATTGACCCATCATGACAAGTTACGTGTGTGCATTTACGGGTAGTACTGGAACTGGTACCCCATTGAAAAAACCAAAACATGAGGGTACCCGTCGAAGAAACCCAACGCCAAATTTCAAGTCTCGGAAGTTGCTGTTCAGATTGCTCATAAAGGCCTGCACGATAATACTACCACATTTGCGCATCGATACAGCTAGAGCCAAGTGTGTACAGTGAGCTTATAGCTTGACGGTGTAAACTGCAACTTTCGCGAGCGTCCTCAACATGAAATACATGTTTTGTTTTCCCATGTAGCCTGATTTTCATATTTAAAATCCCCCCCCCCCACCAATGACATTCAAAACTTGTCTTTTTCATTGTCTGAGAAGTTATTAAGTAATTTGTAAAGTTGGTTACAGGTACCTGATTCCATAATCTGGAACCGGTTCCCGATATTAACGGTCTCGTACTCGGGTACCCGGTTCCGATGCACAGCCTATGACAAGTCTAGCAATATTTCAGCCACTGTAGTTTGCACAACTGTCTATCCTCGACAAATCTCTCCACAACTGTCTTCAAGCTTAACAAAGGCTACAATCACTTGTCCTTGTCGATCAGTGTTCCTTTTGTTCTTGCTTTCTTGGCAAATTCTTCTCTCAATGCCTGGAAAAAAGTTGAAGGACAAACAATTATTGTGAAATTAAAAATTACTGTCATTGGTTGATACTTTCTTTGTGCACAGCTCAACCCACCAGTGGACATTGATGAAAGCAAGTGTCTCGGACACGTTCATTTTTTGGAATTGGTGTTTTATGTGACTGATCACGTGAAATGTTTAAAGAAAGCAGTAAGAAAGCTTATATTGTACCTCGTCTGTTTTTCTCTTAGCCATGCCTTTTCTCTCCAGTTGTTTCTCAATGACTCGAGCATTGCTGGCATAGGAGTCGGCAATCTCACGCTAAAAATAAAATAGGGGAAAAGAAAAAAGATGATAAAAATTCAACTCTATCTAGGTATTAAGTTTCATTTAGGCATACCGGTTTGTTTCTAAAAGACAGACATTCCATGCGCATGTAAACTAATGGAACTAGATTACATCCATTGAAAATAACTTACTGATTCAATCTCTGAAAAAATATTTTCTCCAATATCTCAAAGTTGAACACAAACTGATCTCTAGTCCAAACATTTTGGATTTCTCTAGTCCAAACATTTTGGTCAAATCCAAAGTCCTAGGATGCTGCTTGCAAGACTTGGGTCACGATTGGGAAATTTCAAACTTCAAAACATTCATCCACTTTTTGTCTCCAACTTACGGCTTCAATCTCATCTTCCTCTTCATCGATGGTTGAGACGGTTACCGAGGCATACTTGCCCATCTCTTTTGTCTTCTTGGTTAACATCACCTGACAATTCAAACAGGAAAAAAAGGATGAAAGGTCACTGGCAGGCAAAAACAACAGCATTGGCAGACAAATACTTAACTACATGTACAAAGCTTTCCTGGTGAGTTTGAGAGATTTATTCAGTGGTAGTACACGAAAGAAGCACAAACCAGCAACAACCTTTTCAGAGTAAACCGACAGTCATTCCTTGTTCACCTTTTTGGGTACAGCTTTCTGTATGACGAGCGGTTCTTTGACTGGCCCCTTATCGGGTTCAAAAACAGCGCCCTCGACGATGAACGTTACTGTTGCATCCTTTTCTTTGTGTTGATAGAAGAGGAACAAGCCACATCTATTATTAGGGGGCGAAAAAAGACTCGTTAAAATCAATACGCCGAGTAGGCCCAATTGTCAAATTATATTGATTCTTTCTGGTATATTTTTGACAAGGATTTACAGCCTTCTCTCGTACTGAATGAATGTTTCAATCGTTACTTACTTTTTACATTTTTTCCTAAACTGCTTTTCAATGCCTCCAGGCCTGTAAAAAAAAAGGAAAACGAGAATAACGAGAAATGTGCCGCCAAAATTGATGGTCATGTTCTTTACAAACATTCTTATTTTATGTTGTTTGCTTGTTAAATTAACTAAAAATGGTTCAACGAATTACCTTCTGAGATGAATGGTTTCATCTGCATCGCAGGTTAATTTGTGGACATGTTTCGCGCTGTCAATAACTCTGGCGTTGTCTGTTTTTCTGAGAGGAAGCTTCTCCATTGAACAATCTACAAGGAGAAAATGAGTGAAGTACATTGTATAAACACTAAAATAAATGCATTTACGCCTGTCAACGTACAATACAATGGGCGATCGTGTAGTGTAGGGCCCCTATCTGTATTTAGTTTCGATCAAATTAGAGTCAAGGGTGTTTTTTGCTGACTCAAAAATGACCTTTTCAACCTAAAGCAGACTTCCCTCAATTATAATCACATTTTTTGTGTGATTTTTAACAGTTTATTGGGGTAGAAATTACGATTTTCCTACGCGGTTACGGTTGGTGCCGTGTGAGTCTGGTACATGTACACCGCACGGTGATCGCCATATTTATTTTTGTGTTGCGTTTTGTCATCGTCCTTTTTACCCCAAATATCCCTAAAAAAGTCAAAACCCTGCCCTCTATCTATGACATACCTGCATGTTCTTAATGTCGCCAACTATTTTGGTAGATCAAATAATTTAAAAGTGGATTTTGTTCCCTGGAACCGGGCCCGTCAATGCCCGCAGATACACGATCGTCACACAATGACATTGAACCTTTTATCATGTTTATTTAATAACATGGGTAAAATATGGATAAACAAAGCAAACTATTAAATTTTTGACAAAATATAGGCAATGCAGGCCCTTTGTTTTAACTGGATGAAACATTTCAGATTAAGAAGCTAGCCTATCCAAAACAAATGACAATGTACAAACCAATGATCAGGACCATTTGACCGCATAAGCAAAAGTAGGTTTGTAGTGGTCTGTCTTTTTCATATTCCTCCTTTTCTCTGTTGTCAGACACCACAATACTTCGAGAAATAACCTTAGGCATCCTGATTCATCCGATCTTCACAAAACAAATAATTAGTCGCACAAATATAGCCGTAAAAAACCTATAACTTTGCTACCCTCACGCAAAAAACACGTTTGCTACTGGTTATGAGTTATAGCACCACCAATAGACCAATATTAACTGCAGCGAAGTTTCAAGGTAGCATAAAATGGTACGACAGTAGAGCGCGTAATGAATATGCATGACTATGACGTCACCAGAAGTCATGAGTAATATATCACGCACGGTACTGATAGTGATATATATACATGTACATGTACATGTACATGTAGATGCACACTGTATGTGCTGCATCCCACTTACCGATGATATCACATTAACCAGTCCTCTTTCTACTGTCGCGCCGCCACCCTCTAGTGTCGTCCCACTTACCGATGATATCACATTTAACAAGTCCTCTTTCTACTGTCGCGCCGCCGACCTCTACTGTTGCCCCACTTACCTATGATCATCAAGTGGGGCGACACTAGAGGGTGGCGGCGCGACAGTAGAAAAAGGACTTGTTAAATGTGATATCATCGGTAAGTGGGACGACACTAGAGGGTGGCGGCGCGACAGTAGAAAGAGGACTTGTTCAATGTGATATCGGTAAGTGGGATGCAGCACATACAGTGTGCATCTACACGTATATCTATCAGTACCGTGCGTGATAATAGGGAGGTTTCGCAAGCGAACGGATACGCTTACACTTACGTTTAGCTATCCGTATCCGTTTTTTACTTACGTGTAGCGAGCGAGATATGCGTGTCGTCTGCACGTTTAGCGGATAGTGAATGGCATATGACGTCATACGTGCAGACGACACGCATATCTCGCTCGCTACACGTAAGTAAAAAACGGATACGGATAGCTAAACGTATTTGTAAGCGTATCCGTTCGCTTGCGAAACCTCCCTAATATTACTCATGAGCTTCTAGTGACGTCATAGTCATGCATATTCATTACGCGCTCTACTGTCGTACCATTTTATGCTACCGAAGTTCAACGAGTTTATTTTTAGCGCCCTCAGTCGACGGCCAACGATGACAGGTGGCGGCCGAGTAGGACCCTTTTTCTTGTGATCTCGGTAAGTGAAATTCTCGTAAATTTCACCATTTCGTGTGACATTTCAGGGATTTTGAACCAGCCTGTAGGTACCTGGCCATATCAAGATAATACATGTGAAATATTGGGGCGGAAATGTTCGTACAGCCTACAGGAGAATTAAACGAAATTGACAATTTTGTTTTCCACCACAGCACAACACCACAGCCATGACAGCCCAGGTTGGACGGGGGTCAGACAAGTCGACCGTTGAGACAACTCGACTTGGGACAAGTCGACCGTTGAGACAACTCGACCGTTGAGACAACTCGACCGTTGAGACAACTCGACCGTATGTGCGATAAATGGAAAGACAAGTCGACCGTTGAGACAAGTCGCCTAGCATGTTTTGGGCCTAGTTTAGTACCTAGGGATAGTACTGGGCATTTGACGGCGGCTGATCGCCGTTTGGGAGTGATGACACATGAGTTTTTTTTGTTGCATATAACAGAGCCGATATAGCGCAGCGTGATTGTCCGTGCACATCGTTCGTTTTTTTCAAGGCCACGTGCGCGCATCCCCGGTCAACGTGGCTGTACCGTGAACGGTGGCATCGTTTTTGCCGGGCCTGTGCGCCCATTTGCCGGTCAACTTTTCCTTACGGTGCACGGTGACATCGTTTTTGCCAGCCCTGTGCGCCCACTTATCTCATCCCTGGTCGGTCAACGTGGCCGTACTGTGCACGGTGACATCGTTTGTGCCGGGCCTGTGCGCCCATTTGCCGCGCCGGTCGACGTGCCCGCGTGCCGGGCCCGGCCCGGTCCTCGCGGGCAGGCGGGGCGCACCGGCCTGACGCGACGCCCTCTGTACATCGAGTATGCCTGCGTCGCACCCGTCATGCCCGTGATCGGTCTTGCCACAGATTTGTGCAACTTTTTCTGCTCCACGTGTATTCATTTCCAACGGTCGCGTTGTCCCGAGTCGAGTTGTCTCAACGGGCGACCTGTCTCAGCGGTCGAGTTGTCTCAACGGTCGACTTGTCCCGAGTCGAGTTGTCTCAACGGTCGACTTGTCTGACATTCGGTTGGACGACGTAGTTTATTGCATTTACGACTGACGTCCAGGGGATAAATTGTACCAACATAGCGAAAAAAATTATAACACATTTTTTCATATTTTTACCTGATGGAGGAAGCTGAAATTTCGCTTACATATTCCTTGTGTCCAGAATTGTACCTGCGCTGGGTTTATAGGAACGGCAAATATGTCCACGGGCGGCGTGTTTACCGAAAATAAACCGCAAGTTTTAGGCTTTTGTTGAAAACATTTTCAGAACGATCTCCCCGCGTAAAGACCTACACGCGCGTGCCGTTTGCTGCCGCTTGCTGCCACGGCGGCAGCCTGCTGGGTGTGCATGTTCGTGAAGGTCAGTCATTGCAAAAATGATGATAAGACATGAATCTTGGTACCGAGAGACATTTCCAATTTTGTTAGGAAATACTTTGAAAGTGTTCTTGGCTCTCCATAGACTTTGTACATATGGCCAAAAAAAAGAATAGTTCTGCTTCCGGTTACCCGACTAAATAATTGAATAAATACAAATAAAATCTGTCTTTTCTGTCTTCACAAAATGCCTCTCAACAACCCTTTTGCATCCAAAAATGCTTGTATTTATTTGTTTTCTTACTTACATTCGCTTTTTTTTCAAAGAAACCTCCGTTATTACAAATTCGCTTCGCGATATAACTACTTCGCAATTCGATGTCACGCACGGTGACTATAATCACGTGGCGACGACTGGTTCCCGCCGCGCCGTGCAGGGGCCAATTTAGAAGACATAATGAAAATGCGGTAACCAGTCCATAGCTAGCTATGTGACCGATAACGCGCTATCAGTACAGTGCAGGCCACTGTCAACTGGTCGGATTCGACATCGTAAAAATGCCAAGAAAACACCGATGGAGAAAGAACATTTTTTGCAAGTTAATTTACAGAATTGATCTAGCTTGTCCGTGTATGTATTTTCTGTGTTCAGGAGTTCATTTTGAGATCGCACTACTCGTATTTGGAGTGATACATGCCGTGTTTTTCCCGAAATTGTTGACGGTAAAAACAGCTCTGACGGCCCATGGTGGGCCGCTCGCCACACACGCACGCATTACACACGCACGCATTACACACCTCGGAGTTTTGGCCAGCTCCCCGCGTCTTGACTAGCGTTGTGCATATGGTGCGAACGGCCTGAATTTTCCATTATTTTTTGAAATTATCGAACGTAAATATATTGACAATAATTAAAGGTAGGTTTTACTCACTTTTTGTTGCCATTTCGTGTATAGCTTTCGTAGTACAATAGAAATAGTTCAGGCTAAAACTTCGCATATAATTGAATACCCCATTCAATCTGCATAAAAAAAATTGGCAAAAAAAAAAAAATTCCGACCTATTTTTGAAAGGCATGTAATCGGAAGCAGAACTATTTTTTTTTTTTTTGCCTAACCGCTGAAGTGGAATCTGGATACTACATTTTTTCTGTACTTTCAGACCCCGTGTCTGTAAGAAAATGAAAAGCATTGTACATTTATGACTCATCTAAATATAAGTAGCTAGCGATGTTGAAAAACCAATTTAGAAATTAAATGAAATACAATAAATATTTTTCCTATAAATTCTTTCGTACTCATACTAGGCCTACTGATAATACTACTTTGTGTTGGCTCACGATGGCTTCCGGTCGAAACCCCCAACATTTTACTGTCGACACAAGGCAGGCGCCTCCACCAATGAATAAGTGCCTGGTGCCGCCTCATCCATCTCAACATCAGCTTCCTGCTCAAGATCAAGGAGAAATGTGGCGTGGTGCTCCGGGAGATCATTCAAGTCAAGACACCAGACCGTTTCATGATCTACCATGTGGTGTCCAAGGGCAAAGCTATTCCCATCCTCCGCCTCGTCCTCACCAATTTCCTCCTCCTGGCTTCCCGCCTCTAGGTTATCTTGGTTACCCTCCTCCTCCAACCCCAAATTTTCAAGTACCTCCACCCCCAAATTTTCAAGTACCTCCACCACCAGTCCCCGTCCCATTTGGTCCCCCTCCACCCTACACGCCTTACCCGGATACGCCGGAAGTCGCCGGACATCTGGGCTCCGATCGTTTGTTCGACCAGTTTTGCAACGGACCTCAGCAGTCTGGCAATTCTACTGGTTTTCAAACTTCACAGACAGATAATTCTATGAAATACCATGAGACGGTAAGAAGACGGGAAACCAACGATGATAGAACTTGCCCTCCGGGGAGATTCCGAGATGGCAACCAATCAAGGAGTCGTTCAAAGGATGACAGGCCAAAAGCAGATGATCAAAGGTGAGTTAAATAAAACCTTATAACGGTAGGCCAAAAACAAATATCTGAACCTTCAATGCCCCCGCGTTTTCACAGCTTTAAAAAAAATACAGAACAATATCGCTACACATTTAGAAAGCATACATCATTTGCTTTTCAACAACGAAAAAATCTTTCCAATCGAGTAAATATTTATTGAGTTATGGCCAATTGAAAACAAGTACCAATGTTTAATTTTGTCCACGGGGACTACTATTTGACTGCCGCACTATTAAAAACACTGGCCAAAACTTGCATCTGTGAAAGAGGCTGCCAAGTAGAGAGAAGAGACGGAGCAGCACAGGAAACATCTAAGAAGTCAACCAAACAGTCCTTGTCAGGACTACCATTTCTTCCGAAAGGAGAAATGCCCATTGTTGCAAAAAATGAAAAATACAAAAGAACCAAATAAAGAAGCAAAACTAACCCACACCAAATTCATTACATTCCTAATAAATGACAATTAAAACCCATGGAAGGATTTTTGTTGTTAAAAAGCTAATGAACTATACTCTCCAAATATGTATCGATTTTTGCGATGTATTTTTTTTAAGCTGTGAAAAAGGGGGCGCTTTTAGGGTTCTTTTTGTTGGGCCACCCTGTATATGTATTGACAGTGTCCCAATACAGTAATTAAAAGCCAAAGATGTAAGGCATTGTAAATTTGTATGTGCCTTCAGTAGTTGACATTTTCATAAAATATTTGGTAAAAAAAAGCAATGACAATGGGCACACGATGTGGATGAAAGCCTGAAAAGATAGTTACTTCTATATTCTCGTTGTTCAATTTCAGCAGGAGTAACACAGGTTATGCCCACCCGCAAAGCTCAAGCTCAGCAACGCCAAGAAATCCTCACCAAACCTCTAGAAGATCATCTCCATCTAGAAATAGATCTCCAAGAAGGCGTAGCAGATCACCGAGACGGTTGAGATCCCCGGCGAGAAGGAGATCGCCTAGTTCAAGGAGATCACCGACTAGAAGTCACTCGTCAAGACATAATAGGTCCCCAAGATGTAGTCGATCGCCTCACGATAGCAGGACGTCCCGCAGGCAACCGGAAAGACGGCGGTCTAAAAGATCCAGGTAGTTCTTCAAAATATCTAAGCAGCAACCGTTTCTTTTTCTTTTGTCTAATGAATCAGTAAGCTTTGAATTACACTCGTGATGCAAAAATTGATTGCGTCTGGCTGCTATGAACCCTTTAAAGGTAGAGAAGATCATTTGTCATTTGTGTATTTGTTTCGTTTGAAGCAACAAAAGTGCTAAAGATCTAAAGACGGGTGCTTAACAATTAACTTGATCAAGTTTTAGATCTGTGAATGCGGTATATTTCAAGAAAACAATATTCGAGGATCAATTTCAATTCAAAAGTTGCTGAGTCATATTTTGAATTGTGCCCACTATCAGCATCCGGAACACATTCTCATTCAGCTGATTGCAGCTACGGGATGTCTCGCACTGAACGACGAATAATAGCAACCATGCGCTCGTTTGCGTCGTGTCAACGCTTGCGCGCACCCATTCACGAATTCGCCAAATTACCAACCAACTATTAGCGGAAATTTCTAACATGCGTCACTTGACTTCGTCTTTGGAAATGACATTCTTTTATTGTTTTCTTCAAAATGACAGCCTTCCAGAAAGAATATTTTCACAGGGAGTTTAGTGCCATTAGTATCTTTAAACCAAGTATGCTTTTTAACAATAATTTTGTCAGTTACTGTTTGGATAGCTACAAATGATCTACTCTACCGTTAACCAGTGCGATTTTTGATCGATTACAATTGAAGTTGTTGGAATTTTGGATGGGTAATAGATCCAGGTCACCAGCGTCTGCGGGATCGAAGGGAGATTCTTCAAGGCAGGATCAATCACCACGGCAACAGAGAACATCCTACTCCCCGGGGAGAGGAGGTCGTCAAGACGATGGAGGCAGAGACAATGAGAGGAGAAGACAAAGAAGACGGTAGGATCTGACGTGATGTAGTTTTAACAGGTCATCAAAAGTCAATCATAAGTTATCCAGTCCCAAGTTAGTCAGAAACTATTCACAATGAAGTGCGCCACCAAGAGTTTGCCATAGAGAGTCCATTTTTCAAGTTTACGGTCAACAAAACATGGCCCATTTGAACGAGTGTCAGTAGACAACTTCAGATAACTTGTTATAGATTGGGGTTTAGCATTCTGCCGCCTTACAAAAAAACACCATATTGATAAAAAGAAAAGAAAAGAAAAGTGTCTTAATTATTCATGAACATGAAATAAAACTTAGACCGTGTCCAAAACAGGCTTTCAGAGCTTTACCTCTGTCTATCGTCTCTATGTTCCCACAAAGTTATTAGGGTCGAAGACCTTAGACAATTGCCCTAGCTATTAACCCTAACCATCCTGAATCCATCAAAATCCATACCCCTGTTTTGGAGTATTTCTGCGGATACAGGATATCTCCATATTGAAAACAGGGATTTTGATGGATTGAGGATTGTAAGCCTAGCGGTACTGCAGGATTTTGATGGATTCAGGATACCTCCATACTGAGCAGTCACCAACATTTGTGTGCATGACATAGGTGAATCTTGACAGATTCAGGATACTTTCTAGTAAAGATACCAAGGGGTTTGGGTTATTAAGAGATTCCAATGCAGCCTCCATCTCATGACGACATGGCCTTGTGTTTCCTGACAGATCCCCGATCAATCAGACCCAACGATGGGATGAGCTGGAGGCCAAGACGGCCGCTCTCCACGACTCCTACAAACCTGCCACACTGGCATCGTGTGCGGGTCAAGATGATAAGACGGAGGAGACCACAACGGAAGATGAGCCAGCATGGATACAATGCTCACCCAGGGAAAACTTCTACTCTGGGGATTCTAAGATGCAAAAGGTATTAGGATAGTCTTCAAGATCTTGTCTGTTTAATCAGTGCTTCTGACCGATAAGTTGTAATGCAGATCCAAATCTGCCTAGTTTATTACTGATTTCTCCCCTTATTTCCAGTTTTTTGGCAGTTTCTGATTTTCCATTTTGTTAAAGACTGGTTTGAAAGACATTTTCCAGTCCCCTTATAGTCACTGTCCTTGAAAATTATTGTCATGCTTCCTTATAAAACTTGAAGGCAAAGAATTAATATACAATATGGAAGACCTTTGTGTTTAAAGGAGTATTACTGCCTGAAATTCTCGTAATTTAATGTTTTGGATTGCTTTAATACTGATCCTGTTTCAAAGGCCTGGTTGAAAGGAAACTAACCTAATGTCTTACCACTCCCGAGAAAAGACCAAAAAACCAAGTTGTTTACATCAGATGCTACAGACATTTTGTAGCACACACATATGTATTTTCAGCCGTTTCCATTAAATGTACGATACACGTTGTGTTTGTGTCACATAATAAACACAGCAGTAATACACAAATGTTGTTTCTCGCACGTCCGCAGAAAACTAGCATGAGCAGCTTGAGTTTTGATAACACAAAACGCCTAGTTTTTATAGGATGGTTGTGTGGATGTTTATATCCTACTTTTAAAGGGAATGTACATGATTGGCTTTGCTGTAAGTTTCAGAAATTAACTAATAGATCAAATATTGTTACACTGACATGTTTGAAGTTTTGTGTTCGCAAATGCTGGAAAAACCAAGAAAAACAGTAGTCTGGTTCCCTGACTCCACTAAACATGAAATGGATCAATTTATAGATGCCGGAAAATTGTAAGGTAAGGGAACCAGTCTAGCTGGCCTGCACCTGTTCATGAACATGTAACCAATAGCAAACAAAATTTGGACTGAAAAATAGTTAGGTTTTTCCAACGCTGATCGGCTGACCACCGTTGGAAATTTATACAAAAATACCACTTTTCTTGAAAATGACTTCACACCAGTTGCTATAATTTTACAGGATGCTTTAGACTGTCATTTACCAACATCCTAGCAAGGTTTTTCGTAAAAATTTGTTAGTTTGTTAATGTTTGCAAATGTTGTATATTCCCTTTAAATGCTCTTTCTAATTAACATCATTTCGTTTTAAATGCATTTTGTAGCCCAATTGGGCTCATTCCAGCCCGTAATGCCCCTTTAAAGGAAATTAATGCTGATATAGGAATACATTTATAAATATTTGCTGATATTCTGTTTGGCAGAATGAATCGACAGTTGCTGCAACTGATAAACTTAAAGACCTCCTCGGAAGGTTCCAAGAAGAGATTGTCGACAGAGGAGTGAGAGCTAGAGAAGTGCAACCCAAGCTGGAAGTACCACAACCTAAGGTTCACTGGCATGTCCATAAAGGTAGGGCTTGGCATGAGAATTGACTTGTGATATCGTGGGACTGGGTTCGAACCCTGCCAGTGAGGTTTCATGAAGAGGTTGTCAATATAAAGGAGTGATTGCTTGAGATGTACAACCCAAGCAGGAAGTACCTCAACCAAAGGTTCACTGGCATGTCATTAAAGGTAGGGCTTCGCATGAGAATTGACTTGTGATATCGTGGGACTGGGTTCGAACCCTGCCAGTGAGGTTCCAAGAAGAGATTGTCGACAGAGGAGTGAGAGCTAGGGAAGTACAACCCAAGCTGGAAGTACCACAACCAAAGGTTCACTGGCATGTCCATAAAGGTAGGGCTTGGTGTGAGAATTGACTTGTGATATGGTGGGACCGGGTTCGAACCCTGCCAGTGAGGTTTCATGAAGAGGTTGTCAATATAGAGGAATGAGAGCTCGCGATGTACAACCCAAGCAGGAAGTACCTCAACCAAAGGTTCACTGGCATGTCCATAAAGGTAGGGCTTGGTATGAGAATTGACTTGTGATATTGTGGGACTGGGTTCGAATCCTGTTACTGAGGTTCCAAGAAGAGATTGTCAATATAGAGGAATGAGAGCTCGCGATGTACAACCCAAGCAGGAAGTACCTCAACCAAAGGTTCACTGGCATGTCCATAAAGGTAGGGCTTGGCATGAGAATTGACTTGTGATATCGTGGGACTGGGTTCGAACCCTGCCAGTGAGGTTTCATGAAGAGGTTGTCAATATAAAGGAGTGATTGCTTGAGATGTACAACCCAAGCAGGAAGTACCTCAACCAAAGGTTCACTGGCATGTCATTAAAGGTAGGGCTTCGCATGAGAATTGACTTGTGATATCGTGGGACTGGGTTCGAACCCTGCCAGTGAGGTTCCAAGAAGAGATTGTCGACAGAGGAGTGAGAGCTAGGGAAGTACAACCCAAGCTGGAAGTACCACAACCAAAGGTTCACTGGCATGTCCATAAAGGTAGGGCTTGGTGTGAGAATTGACTTGTGATATGGTGGGACCGGGTTCGAACCCTGCCAGTGAGGTTTCATGAAGAGGTTGTCAATATAGAGGAATGAGAGCTCGCGATGTACAACCCAAGCAGGAAGTACCTCAACCAAAGGTTCACTGGCATGTCCATAAAGGTAGGGCTTGGTATGAGAATTGACTTGTGATATTGTGGGACTGGGTTCGAATCCTGTTACTGAGGTTCCAAGAAGAGATTGTCAATATAGAGGAATGAGAGCTCGCGATGTACAACCCAAGCAGGAAGTACCTCAACCAAAGGTTCACTGGCATGTCCATAAAGGTAGGGCTTGGTATGAGAATTGACTTGTGATATCGTGGGACTGGGTTCGAATCCTGTTACTGAGGTTCCAAGAAAATATTGTCAACCGAGGATTCAATCTACTACTATGTCATTCTTGGCTTGCAAAGTGAACATAAGATGACAGCAAGACAATAGACTGAGAGTCCTGATAAAAAGGCTAGGGTTCAAACCCAATATTTAACTGATGATATGCAAAACGACGCCACCAGGACCGAATTTATATCTGAAGTGGTTAATATTTGGAGTTTGGTCTTTCTTCTGAGTCCTTTTGTCAGTTATCAAACAGTTTTGATTTGTCTTACGCCTTTAGATTCTGATGCTGAATCATCCGATGACAGTGCGTCTTCATCTTCATCGTCTGAGGAAGAGGAGGAGAATGAAGACGATCCTCTAGCTTTCCTTCAGATGAAGGAGAAACATCCAGCAAGACTTGCTGATAACCTGTGGTTTAATGATCCAGGAGAGGTGAGTAGATCCAAGGAATACATTGGGAGGGTCATGGGGGAAGGGTCATGGAGGAGGGTCATGGAGGAGGAGTTATGGGGGAGGGGTTATGAAGGGGGGAGGGTATGAGATAAACATCCAGCAAGACTTGCTGATAACCTGTGGTTTAATGATCCAGGAGAGTTGAGTAGATTCAAGGAATTCATGGGAAGGGGTCATGGGGAAGGGTCATGGAGGAGGAGTCATGGGGGAGGGGTCATGGGGGAGGAGTCATGGGGAGGGGTCATGGGGAGGGGTCATGGGGGAGGGGTCATGGAGGAGTAGTCATAGGGGATGGGTCATGGGGGAGGGGTTATGAAAGGGGGGAGTATGAGATAAACATCCAGCGAGACTTGCTGATAACCTGTGGTTTAATGATCCAGGAGAGGTGAGTCAATTCAAGGAATTCATGGGGAGGGGTCATGGAGGAGGAGGAGTCATGGGGGAGGGGTTATGAAGGGGATGTATGAGATAAACATCCAGCAAGACTTGCTGATAAGCTGTGGTTCAATGATCCAGGAGAGGTGTGTCAATTCAAGGAATTCATGGGGAGGGGTCATGGGGGAAGGGTCATGGGGGGGGGTGTCATGAGAGGAGGAGTATTAGAGAAACATTGATGAAACATTTAATGATCTCAGAGAGGTGGGTCGATTGGAATTCATGGGGAAGGGGTCATCCAAACACGATTCCTTCACACAACTAACATTCAATTTTCTGCCATATCCTTTTCATTCCATGCCCAAGAATATCCTGGGTACGTTTCTAGACTTCACTCGAGTTATAAATGGCATTCTAGAATCAATCCACTTTTTTTTACATTTATATTCACAGTTCTATTTTGGTTTTCTAGGTGAACGATGGACCCTTATGTCGGTGCAGTACCAAAGCCAGACAGGTCGGCATAAGACACAACATCTATCCTGGTGAGAAACCGATCCCACTATGTGACCCACACACCAATAATGCTGGCAAGCTGTACCATTATCGCATCACCATGGCCCCAAGTACCAACTTCCTGGTAAGATAACAAGTAATATTTTATTTCAACTTCATATTCTGTGCTACTGAAAATGGTGAAAACGGCGTTGAAAATAATTTGTAAATTAAAAAAATGGCAGCCATTTAATAAAGAATGACCAAAAAGCCAGTTTGTCCACTCGCAAGTCTATAAAACATGGTCAGAACAATTGCACTGGGCGCATAAAGGAACGCAATAACAATGAGCATATCTCACCCCCGTGTGGACAAACTGGTCTTTGACCATTTTTCTGTAAATGACCACCATTTCTAACAATAGGCTTTATTTTTAATGCCGTTTTCACCGTATACTACCAAGATCTTGTAGTTTAGGAATATCTTAAAACATTTTCAACATGTCTCCTCAATTTTGAGAAGCCTGCTTCTGAAAAAGTAATTTGTTTCTTAGACCACCCTGTTGAAGCCATTTGAAATTAGCCCCCAACAAAGCAAAGAAGGGGCAACATTTCGGTGTATGTTTCTCATGGAATTGTCATCCCAGCTTGCCATTTTTTATTTCAAGTTTCCACAGTGGAGTGCCGTGGCCTCGTGGTCTGGAGCATTGAACTCGTGGTCTGCGGGTAATTCTGCAGGTTGTGGGTTCGAGTCCACCCTGGGGTCATGGTGCGTGTGCCCTTGGGCAAGGCAGTTTGTCACTCGTTGCTTCTCTCCACCCAGGAGTAAATGGGTACCTGTGGGGGCAGAGATGGTTATTGTACAGTTTTCTGACATTGAAAGCAGTCTGTAGATTATTTTTTTTTTATTATCACTAATTCCAGACTCACCAACCCACCGTCATCGAGTACGATGACAGAGAGTACATCTTTGAAGGTTTCTCTGTCTTCTCACACTGTAAGCTCGACAACATCCCACCTTGTAAAGTGGTACGCTTCAACATCGAGTATTCCATCATCTTCATGGAAGAACCAATGCCAGAGGTGAGTGGAATAAAGCATTTCAACTCTCTTAGTTCTAAAATGTGACATTTCATTCTATAACCCGATGAAAGTAGGCACCACTTTGAACCAGATGTTTGAGTTTCAATATTAGGTTTTGCTCTCACCGACATATTAATACTGTATACTCAGTGTGTTGCCTCCTGGGTGAAAGTTGGAAAAAAAAAAATCACTCGGGTGGGACTCAAACCCACGACCTCCTGCTTTCTAGTGCAGGTGTCTTACCACTTGACCACCGAGCTTCCGGGATCGGTTAGCTGGTTCGATGTACATGTAGCAGCGGGTACCGCAATTAAACTATTCATAAGATGGAATTTTGCGTCGGGGTAATGTAAATCAATATTAGGTTTTGCCCTTCACCGACGATAAACACTGTATTCTCATTGTGTTACCTCCCGAGTGAAAGTTGAAAAAAAAAAAAGCTCGCTCGGTGGTCAAGTGGTAGGACGCCAGCACTAGAAAGCAGGAGTTTGTGGGTTCGAGTCCCACCCGAGTGATTTTTTTTTCCAACTTTCACTCGGGAGGTAACACACTCAGTATACAGTGTTTACCTGTCGGTGAAGGGCAAAACCTAATATTGATTCACATCACCCAATGTTTGAGATTGAAAAAAATTCACTTTGTTTAATAGATTTTTCAAATAAACCACATTGCATAAAGAAGCCGTATCCTCTCTGAGCAATCCCCGTTTGCTATTTCCCGGATTTGCAGCGTTTATACTAATATTGCTGGTATCGTGACTTACGACGTGATCCCTGGCCACATGGCATATACAGGTTTATGGCTTCTGACTAGCACCCTTTGAACAAAGGCGTTGACAAAATGGGGAACTGCCAACATAGGGCTAAATAGTTCAGTTGGTAGAGCACTGGAATGGCAATCCGGAGGTCGCAGGTTCAAGCCCCACTCCAGTCAATTTCTTTGTTCAGCTTTAAAAATGAACGTTTAATAGATTGAGAGAGTTTGGACAAAAGGCAACACTGGAGTGGAAAGTCAAAACCTATTCAATGGAGTAACTTTCATTTTAAAAATCTTTTTAGTAGTTTGAAGGGTAAAGTCCATTTCTATCCCCCCTGGCTGTCAAAGCCAGACAGGGCGACATTGCGATCGCCGAGGGGTGTGGAGTGATGATGGTTTTCTTTCATTTGGAAACCGTTTCATTTTTTCTCCCTTTTCTATTTTCCTCCCAGAATTTTTCGGTAAGAGGACTGGACTTGTTTGGTGACTTCCTCTTCTTTGAGATCTTGGAGCTCTACGACTTTGAGCTGGTCAGCCGAGTCGGCGGTTGTCGCTTCTTCCACTTCATGCCGAGGTTTGCCCGGCAGCTTCCGAGCAACGGCAAGGAGATCTTATCCATGCATCACGTGATCCAGCACCTGCTGAGGATGAGTCGGCCGGTCGTGGAGGCCAAAGACTTGAAGTCGTGGCTGGAGTGCGATCAGATCACATGGGAGCGGTACGCCGAGGAGCTGAAGGGGATGATTGTAACGTGTCCTGGAAAGGTAAGAAGGAACTAGAGATCGTAAACGGGAAGTGGATGGAGGGAAGGGCGTATCGAAAAGTAGGGTATTTGTCGACCAAGGGGCCATTCAAAATTTTCAATTTTTTTTAAATTTCGAATTTTTTCTGAAATTGTGGGTGGATGGGTCAAGGTAAATAATGCACCAGCGTTCCGATGCGTGTTTCTCTTCAACTTCTCTTCCCCATTTACAGACCTGTACAGTACGGAAAGTTAGCAGGGTACCAGAGGTGCTCGTTTGACTTACACACCGCGGGCGTCGATTACCAGTTGCTACACCCACTTGAACCCAAGACTATAGCACTATAGTTTTTCAAGCAACTCATGGGAACTCAACAACAGATATTTGGGAGGGGGGTTTTCAAATGTATCTCAGACAAAATATTACTTGGGGGGATTTGTGAACTTTATAATCATTCAGCTCTGAGCTTGTCAGTGTTAAATGTCGAACTCAATGACTTGTGAAACCAACAGACGATGGTTATTCAGCATTAACAACAGTACTACCAAGTTTTGTGTGATTTAGCAATTTCCTCTTGTTTCAACTTCAAAGTTGCATGCTGGAAGCCTGGAAAAGCCATTGAAAATTCCTGAGCTGGGAGAGCATTGACCTAAAAAATCTGGCTCATTCGAAGCATTAGTTTGTTCTTTGGTGTATAGGAAATATTGAATAGCAAATCAACAGTTAAAAAACGAAATTTGAGGTGGGTGGGTGGGTCAGAACATTTTCAAAAAAAAAAATATCGAAATTTAAAAGTGTTGAAACTTTTGAATAACCCCCTAGTGCGATAGTGGTGACTGCGTTGTGGGGAAGTTTTTATCATTGGGGAAGTCAGAACTGAGTTGTGGGAAAAAAGTGTTTAAAACCAGCCGGTGTTTTATCAACTGTTTAAAACCACCCACATGATGGGCTTGCGACCAATAGGAATGGGTAAACTGTCTTGGGTATTTACGAACGTGCCCTCAATGATTTATGCATGGAATTTGTAATGAAACACATAATTTAATACTTATGTTTATCTTGTAATCAAACTTTGTCAACAAAAAGTAGCAGACAGTCATGTTTTTCTGCCTTACGCCTCATAGAAGCCGAGCTCAGTCCGTGTCGATCAGGTGGACAGGGAACACGACCAGAAACCTGATGACAATGAAGGACTGGATGACACGTATCCGACCATTGTACACTTTGGACTCCGACCAGCACAGCTCAGTTACGCAGGCAATCGAAAGTGAGTTGCACTGTATAGAGTATGGTTCATTAACGTCATGTCAGGATCGTAAAAGGCAATGTCCATAACAGGTGTTCAGCACTACAGCGTGATGTGGTTGTAATGGAGGACCACCTGCCTAAGACCTGACAGCAAAGTCAACCAACAAGACAAGTTTTTCTGCCAATTTTGACCATTTCAATTTTTACTGAGACAATTCTGACATATGTTAACGTAAACCCTCCTAGATCATTCCAAATCCTCTGGAGGCTTGGAGGATATTAAAAAAATTAGTAAAGGTTAGCCTGACCACTTAAGGCTCAATGCTCCTGGAAAGTTTGAGCACAGAATACATGTTGATGTGTTCTTTCTGAGCTGAGGATTTTATCATGTTTTCCAAAATGCCTGGGGATTTGAAGGGATCTAGAATACGTCCGGATAAAGAAATCCACAAATAAGTTTTACATTTTTTTAAAAAGAAATTAATTAATTTAACGCTCCCTCTCTGGCTGGCAATTTCAACAAGGCCAGCCCAGCAGTCAAAATAAATCAAGTGACTGTTTGTAACAGTTGAGTGCTCCCTGCCTTCATAAAGCAGGATTGACTGGCTGTGATTGTTATGAAACCTGATATAGCTATGCTTTGACTGTAGGAGATTGATAAGCCGGCTGTGCTTACCAGTTACCTGCTTTTATCTATTGATGGAATTTGACTAGTCACGGTGCCTATTGAAATATGATCTCTCTGTTGGTGACTAGCCTGTGTAAAAGGCATGGCAGGGGAACGTGATTGAATTTTTGACTGTCTGTGACTAATCAAACAAAGGAAGATTTAGAAGAAAAAAAGCTCCTGCTCATTATTTTTAGTATCTTTTCAAAATGGTTATTTTACATTTTCAATTTTTTTAGGAATGCCTGAAGATTTACAATAAGAAACTAAAGTCTCTTTGTGATATACCATTTGCAGCTACCAAAACCTGTTTAAGTCCTACCTAAAGATGAACCATCTGCTGGCCAACAAACCCAAAGTCAGCATTCAGGATCGACAGAAGCTCGCCGAGAAAGAGAAGAAGTTACAGAGGATACGCTTACAAGGTCACATGACGCGTGAGGTCACGGCCGAGATCTGCAGTAAGGAGATATTGATGACGGGCATCGGGTCCGATGTTTGCCAGGTATGTTTTTTTCAAAGAAGTCGGACTGAAATTGTCATCATCTTTCATTGGCATCGTAGAGCGCCTTCATCCGATGGTTACTGTGTCAGACTGCAATGGTACATGGGTTTAATTCCTGAAAGGAAACATGGTGCTTGTGTTCTTGGGCAAGACACTTTACCACAATTGCCTGTCTCCATCCAATCTGTGAGAGTACAGACCAGAATGCGCTGATCTCGAGCTGCTGCAAAAAAACTGGTCTCATTGCCTGATGAACAGGGATAATAATTGTAAAGCACTTTGAGACCTTAGGTATAAAGCACTATATAAGCACCACATCATTATAGGTTTTACCGGCCAATTTCCTAAAATGTTCATTCAATTCTGAAAATCGGTCATTCATTTTCGTCTGAATTTGAATGCACGTCGTTAATGCCATTTCAATTGAACGAAAGTTCAATTGTTTTCATTTTCCGTGCTTGTTTTGAGAAACAGACAGCCAATTACGTTACCTGTGCATTCATTTTCGCAAGCATACCTTTTCGCGCAGAGTTCTGGCATACAATTTCGTGAATGTGCAATCAAAAGTATGTTTTTCTCATTCAAAATAGCACATTACATCACATAACTTTAATCTAAAAGTGAAAAAGAATGGCCAATGTTTGAAATTGCCCTCTGAAAGCAAAAAGGAAGTCTTGTAAACGAATAATAATAATAATATCGGAGTCTTATATAGCGCACGTATCTACCAACTATTAGGTACTCAAGGCGCTGGAGATATGTCTATTATTAAAGAAAGGTAAATAAAGTTTATGAGAAATATGAGACCCATTATGTAGCACCTTATAATGGTTTACAAGATGCTGCGGCGCATATTGCAGCCACTGCCAGAAACACCGGGGCAAACCCCTTCTCAGGATTCGAACCCATGTACCACGGCACACAAGTCGAACACCGTAACCATTGGACCACAGCACCCCACAACGAAACTGAATGAGCATAAACGAAGTGTGCTGCTCAATCACTTAATTAATTGAACGGAAATGGAATTGAATGCTAAGGTTACGAAAATGAAATGCGTGTTCAGAACGATCCTCAAATTCAGACGAAACTGAATGACTGATTTTTATAAGTGAATGAACATTTTAGGAAATTGGCCGGGAAAATATATATTATAATCAAGTATCAAGCCTTAGGTTGAAGGATGGATGAGATCAGTAATACCGAACAGTCGGTAGCATTCCCTTATTTTTTTAATTGCCATGTGAGTCTTATAAAAGATTTGTGAAGAGAGCTGCTTAATTCTTATTACTCTCTGTGTTATTTTCATAGCACGCAATGATGTTACCAGTGCTTGTCAACCACATCCGATATTTCAACTGCCTCTACAACATCGATGACATCATTGGATACAAATTCAAGGACAGGATTTTGCTGAAGGTAATATGAGTAATAGAATATGTTTTGATTTTTTTTTTGGAAGTCAAGTTGGAGATCCGTATTTTTTGCCAACAAATCTGGAAGAAGTTGGAGCTAAAATATAAGAAGTTTAGAGAGTTAGACCTGGGCTGGTGTGTTGGCAAAGAAAACAATCAAGATATGATGATTTCAGTTCTTGACGTGAGACATGGGCGGCGCGAGGGGGGGGGGGGTAAGGGCGCCTGCCCCCCCCCCCCCCCCCCCCAGAAAAGCAACAAAAAAAAAAAAAGGAGAAAAAAAGAAAAAAAGAGGTGTGAAGTCAAAGTGCTATTAATTTAATACCAGGGGTGTGATTTTTCCGGATTTTTCCGGATTTCCGGATTTTTAATCTAACGTCTGCGGAATTTTTTTGCGGATTCCGGATTTTTAACGTTTTCTGTTTCCGTAATAATATCGCCCAAAAACTTCTGGCGAAATATAGGCTCTAATTTACGATAATGGATGGACTGGTGACAAGTCTAATGCAGTGCGGTCAAGAACCTAGTAGACATTAATGCAGTATGCGCAGTGGAGTACTTGAGGACCAGACTAAAAATAATTTTCAATGGGTTTGCAGCACCTCGTGTTTGTATATCGCGTGTGGATGTGTGTGTGTATTGTGCATGTATTGTGCAGTGACGATCGTGTGCTAGCAATTCGCAAACACATTGGTGTCAATATTGCCGCGATTTTGTCAAGGAATTTAAGAGTATGGCTGGAAGAACTGGTAATAAAGTGTCACTGTGGATGGAAATCAGTTTGAGCTGCAGTAGTGCTTTGAAAAATAGCCACCACCAACACAAAATTTCAAAAATGTTTTGGAAGCCTGGGACTGGAGTTTAAAGTAAGATTAAACTTTTTCAGCACCGTTCATATTGTTTTGTGTGAATCGTTTCTCTCTGCAACATGCAAAAGTAATAACATCACACAAAAAGCCTTTATGAATCAATCACATATGGATTATATTATTTAATGACCAGACGTTTTTTCTTAATTTTTCCCCCATTTGTTTTCTTTACTGAAGCGACAAAATTTGCTAACATTACAGAAATTACAGTACATAAAATGTACATGCCCTAGGCCTATATATGGACATACGTGCATGCATATGTATACATGTACATCTATACAAGTACATGTACAATAATACATGTACATGTATATTACATGTCAACCGAAGTTCGTGGATTTTTCATTTTTGTCCAATCACACCCCTGTAATACACATTTTACAAAATGGGCATCCACAGGGGTGTCAGTGGGGGTAGGGTGGGCAAATGTCCCCGCCCACCCTTAAAAAAATGATAAATTGAGAATATTATACTTGAGAAAGGATTTTTTTGGGGAAATGTGATTTGCCCCCTCTAGAAAAAAATCCTGGCGACGCCCATGACGTGAGAGTGTTATTAGTTTCTTCGTCCTAATGTAAAATATACAGATTCTAACCGAGATTCTGAAAGATTATTTAGATTGTATTTGGAAGTAGTGCTTGATTTCCTGCAAGTGTCTTCAATCCAAGCCTCCACTACTCAATCCCATACACCAGCAAGAGTCCGGCTGTCTCCTGAAGACGAACAGAGCACACTGTTCGAAACGTCCAGTTAAACCAACTGGTTCTTCTCAGAACCACACAACTCACAAAGAGATATTATTCACATGGTGTTACCGCAATGTGTCCATTCTTTGTTCATATCTACCATGCAAACCTTTAAGTGTCATTTTCTTCAATTTGATCAATTCCACACACTCTGCTTGTATTGTGACGATTTTATTTGAAACCAAAGTTTGAGGTTGTTAAACATCGCAATCTTGCACATTTTTATCATTTCTGTTTCAGCATGCTATGACACACCCGTCCTACCGCCTGACCTATGGCATGAATCCAGACCATGTACGTAACTCACTGTATAACTGTGGAATACGACAACCTGACTACGGAGATAAGAAGAAACAAGTAGAGAGATCAAGAAAGAAAGGTAAGGGTCAGGGGTTTGAATCCTACTACTGTAGCTTGCTATGACACATCCATCCTATCGCCTGACCTATGGCATGAATCCAGACCACGTACGTAACTCACTGTATAACTGTGGAATACGGCAACCTGACTATGGAGATAAGAAGAAATAAGTAGAGAGATCCAGAAAGAAAGGTAAGGGTCGGGGGTTCGAATCCTACTACTGTAGCTTGCTATGACATATCTATCCTTCCGCCTCAGTTAGAATATTGTTTCAATTTGTTCTTATTGGTTTGTATCTGGAGTTTGAATCCAAAAGATCGATTTCATGATTAATTCATTTATTACAAAGTATCATGTTGAGAAAATACCCTCTCACATTCATCATTGACCACGCCCCTTATTGTGTCTGATCAATAAATCAGCATATTTCTAATTTGGTTATATTGACAGGTATCAATACATTGATTAAGATCATGTCTGAGATGGCGGCTCCTGAGGAACTATCCTCCCACATTCACCATTGACCACGCCCCTTATTGGGTCTGATCAATAAATCAGCATATTTCTAATTTTGTTATATTGACAGGTATCAATACATTGATTAAGATCATGTCTTAGATGGCCGCCCCGATGAACTGTCCTCCCACATTCATCATTGACCACGCCCCTTATTGGGTCTGATCAATAAATCAGCATATTTCTAATTTGGTTATATTGACAGGTATCAATACATTGATTAAGATCATGTCTGAGATGGCGGCTCCTGAGGAACTATCCTCCCACATTCATCATTACGAGAGACTGGAGTTCCTGGGTGATGCTGTTGTAGAATTTGTCACAAGGTCAGGAAAAGATTTCTGAAAATAGTCATCATCCTTTCTAAAACTCCGTTGTGATGTCTGAATTAAAAATTCACCATTGTGAGAGACTAGAATTTGTCAAAAGATCACCAAAGATTTCTGAATGTAACCCTCATTTGTCTTGGTTTTATAAGAGAAAAATATGATAACTTGCCGGCTTATATAAAGCTTGTAAAAATGTATCAGATCTGCTTCCTTGATCTGGTTCTGTGATGTGTATTTTCATTTGTGCACTAGAAAGCAGGAGGTCGTGGGTTCGAGTCCCACCCGAGTGATTTTTTTCCACCTTTCACTCAGGAGGTAACACACTGAGTATATACAGTGTTTATACGTCAGTGAAGGGCAAAACCTAATATTGATTTACATCACCCCGCCGCAAATTCCATTTTATGAATAGTTTTTGCAATTTACCAAATTCATTTTTGCTTTTGACAAACTATAAACATTGACTTATTGATTTATTATTATTATTATTATTATTAATGGTTAATTTTATTAAACTTTCACAGCAATAAGGCCGAATTGCAGTTTACTTTACACACATGAAAAATTGTTATATATTAAAATTACAGAGAATTACATCGTGTGAAAGATACATTAAAAAGGTAAATCACAACAAAATATACACAAGTAATAAAAATTAAAATCATTCAAATCCGACTGCGTAAAATACGCAGTCGCAGTCCCCAGACATGTTATAAATATTTACCTAAGGTAAAATAACACAAGTTGTGATGATTTTCCAGTCTTATTCCACTCAGAAAATTCGTCGCAACATTTTATTTATCTATTTGTTTGTTTTTGTAGCACTCACCTGTATTACCTGTTCCCACATCTTGAGGAGGGCGGTTTGGCAACATACAGACAGGCAATAGTACAGAATCAACATCTGGCTGTCTTAGCCAAGGTGAGGTGAAAATAGACAGATACACAAACAGTGTCACAAACAGACAGACAAAGAGCTATCACCTAGTCCTCTGGTTTGTCATACAGGGTGCCCCCCCCCCAAAAAAAGGTAACCCCAATACTAAGGGGTAATATGAAGAAACTATTAACTTAATAACCATTATTATAATTTTATCATAAACTAGGGGCAGTGAGCTTTCCAAGTATGTATTCAAATACCATTTTCAAAGCAATAGGACTCGGTGATGCATAACCTGAGAAATGCATCCTAGATATCAATGGAAAACTTAAAGGTATAGTCCATCATTTGTAATTCGTGCATTTTGTTCGTTTGAAGCAACAAAAGTGCTCAAAATCTAAAGAAGGGTGCTGAACAACTAACCTGATGAAGTTTCAGCTCAGCTTTAGCTGTATATTTCGAGAAAAACGACATTGTAGGATCTCGATTTCAAATCAAAAGTTGCTGAATCATGTTTTGAATTGGGCCTGAATTCAGCGTACGAGACACGTTCTCACTGAGCCGATTGCAGCTACGGTGTGTGGCGCGCTGAACCGAGGAATTAAAGCAACTGTGCACGCGTGTGCGTCGTGCCAATGCTTGCACGCGCGTCGTGCCAATGCTTGCGCGTGCTTCGCCGAATAACAAAACAAACTCCTGATTTGAATTTCCTACGATGGCTAAGAAACACCCTTGGAAAGGCCTTCTTTTGTTGATTTCTTCAAAATGACAGCTTGCCAGAAAGAAAGATTTCACGGAGTTTAGTCCCTTTACTATCTTTCTACTAAGTATGTTTTTCAACAATAATTACGCCAGTTACTTTTTGGATAGCTGCAAATGATGGACTCTGGCTTTAATACCGCCTCTAGTTTATGATTTTTAAAACCGTAATGAATGAATGAAGAAAACTTGTAATAAAGTGCCGGTGTCCCCCACAGATGAGTGCTCATGGTGCTTGCCATAAAATTCTGCAACGCATTATAAAGTCTTTTTTAACTTTGGTTCTATAAACAAGTAGTGAAAAACAAAGGTGTAAGGAATAAGAAATACACCTCATTTCAGATAAAGGGTGTTCTTTTTTGCGTGTGTTGTTAGAAATTGGAACTGGAGCGTTTCCTGTTGTACGCCCACGGACCGGACCTGTGTCGTAGCTCAGACCTGAAGCACGCTCTGGCCAACTGCCTGGAGGCTCTGATGGGGGCGCTGTATCTAGAAGGAGATATCACGGTCGTCAGACGCATCTTCTGTAACCTCTTGTTTGATTCGGAGAAGCTGAGAAGAATCTGGATGCAGCATCCTAAACACCCTCTCCAGGTAGGGGGAGAATTATGGAATACCAAAGGATGTCAATTGTGTAAAAGTACAGAGTAGCGACTTCCAATAACTTTTCATTTTTGGTTGTTCAAATTATAAACAAAACCTCTTAGAGTATGACGGTATGTATTCTTTTATAACTTCATTTACGGTAGAGTAGATCATTTGCAGCTATATAAATGTAACTGACGAAGTTATTGTTGGTTTGAAGTTACTATTGGCAATAATCTCCCTGTGAAATGAATCTTTCTGGGATGCTGTCATTTTGAAGAAATCAATAAATGAAGACCATTTCCAAAGATGCGTCAACTGATGCATTTTGGAAATTTCCATTAGTAGTTGGTTTGGAATGTGGCAAATCCGTGCATGGGTGCGAGCAAGCGTTGACATGAGATGACAGGACGCACGTGCGTGCGCGGTTGCTATTATTTGTCGGTTCAGTGCGTGACATTGCGTAGCTCTATTTGGCTGAATGAGAATGTGTCCCGGATGTTGGTTTCGGGCACAATTCAAAACATGACTCAGCAACGTTTGAATTGAAACTGAGATCCTACAGTATTGTTTTCTTGGCATATACAGCATTCACAGAGCTAAAACTTCATCAGGTTAGTTGTTAAGCACCCGTATTTAGATTTTGAGCACTTTTGTTGCTTCAAAGTAGTAAATGCACAAATGACAAATGATCTACTGTACCTTTAAGAATATGTGGTTAGTTATAAAATATTGAAGGAAAGTTTGGCTGTTTTTCTATCAAGAAGATTTGCTCGCCTCCATGTTGGGTTAGGGGCACAGTGGGCGGAATTTTTTCCGAAGGCAAGTAAGAAGAAATCTTCAAGAGATGAAACTAACTCATGACCTCTTTATAATAGCAGAACTTATCCTTGGTGGCTGTCACAGTCAGGAGAGTTTGCCTGTTTTTTGAATCGCCGTTGTCTTCCTTCGTTTACACAGCTTGAGTTTCCTCAAGGTGACCGACATATGATTCAGTACTCGAGCATTTTACAGGTATGTCAAAACATCTTAAATAAAAAAATAAGTACTCTACTTGCCATCTTTGGCTTTTTGAAGCAATCGTCAGGTATTATATTAGCGGAATAAATATGTGCTTGGCCGGTTTTAAACAATTATGGCAAGGGACATTACCAGGCCCCCAGCTGGTTTTAAACGTACTTGTTTAATACCGGCCAAGCACATATTTAATCCCATTCATAAATACCTTATGGTCAAAATGTCGAAACAAGTCACAAATTAGAAATTTCAAACAATTTTGTTCAACAGATTTACTTCATGTTTTGTGAAACACCCCTCTAGCTATGTTATGGAATGTGCTGCTCACAAGTAGCATAAACATATCCTTATATGAACACTTGTGTGCGCGTGTCGCGTACTGCGCGCTGTGGTGCTGTGGCGTAGCGGTGCTGGTGTTGTGTAAATTTAGGACTATGAATTATGGACTCATTGGTAGTATTCCGCGTGCCTAAGTGAAGATTGTGAACGCTCAGCTAATAAAAGGGCAAAAGGGTTCGGATTTCACTGGAGTCCAAATTTCATCTGACACTGGGAAAGTGTTTAAAACCAGGTAGCCGGTGTTTTATCAACCATTTAAAACAACCAGCCACGTGACGGGCTCTCGACCAATAGGAATGTGTAGACTGTCTCAGATATTTATGAAAAGTGTTTTAAGACAACCTCTACATTATGATCAATGTACCCTTTTAGTCACTATAGTGCCACAAACCACCCTGCCTATTACTGTAGCACCGAAAAAAAAACACCCGAGCACTCTATGCTTGTATTGATTCTCCAGTGAATAAATACAATGTAATACAATGTAGTACAGGTGCTATTGGGTTAAAGACTTTGTCTCTGATGCATTTTTATGTAAAAATTATGCTAGTTGGCTAGTTCTATTTTTATATTTATCTTCGTTTATTTCTAAACTTTTGTTGTTGTAGATGTTGCATAAGTTTGAGGAGTCAACAGGAATCAAGTTCAGACACATCCGTTTGCTGGCCAGAGCTTTCACACAGCGAACAATGAGCTACACCAACCTGACAAGGTACGGACAAGATTCTCCAATTTTCAGCCTCTCACATCTTCAGCCTCTCACTTGAGCAATAATAACTGATCTTCCGACATCTAGATTATATTATGCAGTAAAATGCACTTGAATCAAGTAATGAAAAGAAAACAGAAATGCAGCTATAGGATTTCACTGACACTGTGATCTCTACATTTTGGACTCCGGGCACATGTATCTGCTCACTTATTTACAGTGGGTGCATTCGAGTAGCTCACCCGCATCGACTTGGGTAAAGGCAGACGGCTTAGCCACGACAGCCGGGTTAACCGAACGCTCAACCACAGGCCATTACGATCCTCACGTGACGCACGTAGCCGTGGCTGTTGCCAAAGACAAAACACCCTTTTTCAGACTGATTCTTACTTTGAGATTTATTGCTTTTCCGTCAGTCGCAAAAAGTAACAAAGTCGGGGCTGGAATTGTAGGCTTTAAAGTCGCAAAAATAAAGTTGATTTTTTGGGTCCACTTGAGCTTAGCCGCTGTCGGCCACCATATTTGTCCTTTTTTTGGAATGAACAGCGTATGCGTGTGACGTATTTCCACCACTGACTCTGCTCTACGAGCAGGGTCTGTGGTGGCTGACCCGGGTGAGCTCCAAGAATGACATCAGAGCTAATCGGATGACACGGGGCTAACCCGAGTCGATCCGGGTGAGGTCCTCGAACGCACCCATAGATATCTTTATTTTGTCTGTTCCATCAGATGAATTTGAGTGGCTCTTGTGAGTAGCCTTAGCAAAATCCTCTACAGATCTTGTACAGAGTCAACGTTACTAATAGTTGATATGAATAAATGTCAGTGATTTTATTGATTTGCTTGTCTATTGCAGAGGCCACAATCAGAGAATGGAGTTCCTGGGTGACACTGTACTACAACTCATCACCTCCAGCTACTTGTACAAACACTTCCCTAATCATCACGAGGGGCACTTGTCTGTGAGTATCTGTGTATCACTGTGTTTGTCAGGCTGTCTGTTAATATAGGTGTATGGAGACTTTCCTAATCAGCATGTCTGTGTCTGTGTATCACTCTGTTTGTCTGGCTGTCTGTCAACCTGTCTGTACAAACACTTCCCCAACTACCTCGAAGGTCATCTGTCTGTGTATCATTGTGTTTGTCAGGCTGTCTAATAAAGTATCTGTAAAGATACTTCCTTTATTATCAAGAGGGTATCTATGTGTCTATGTATCACTGCGTCTGTCCACCCTTCTGGCTGTTTGATGTATCAAATCTTCATGGCACATTTGTGATGCGATCAAGCTAAATGAGTCATTTGTCGACCCTGGTCAATTTTGTTTTTACAGATTTGAAAAGAGCAAAATCTCAGCATTACTGATGTGAAAACCGCAAGCTGATACCATCTTTAGTTCAGAAATTATGGAAGTCGGAACACCAAGAGATGTGATGTGATGAAGTGGCCCCATTTTGTCCTGAACCTCCAAATGAAAATTCCCGACAAACGACTCATTTAGCTTGATCGCATCACATTTGTCTTTAAAACCAATTCTTGGATGGATAATTCATAAAATCATGTCATTTAATCCAGCTGCCAATCAGTCAATGAATATGTCTTCGTTTGTTTCTCGTCTAGCTTTTGCGTAGCTCTTTAGTCAACAACAAGACCCAGGCCACTGTAGCCTCCGATCTAGGCATGTCAACTTACATCATTGACGCTAAGAATCGTACTCTAGAAGACGGTGGTCCTCTACCAACCAAACTCCTAGCTGATCTTCTGGAAGGTGGGTCGTTAATCTTCAAGATTTCCTTGACATCCTTTCCATTGTCAACGAAATTTTTTTTTTTAGGGTTTTCACTAAGGACGTGACTTTGCGTTTAATTTCGTAAACTTTTTGCAAATATTTTGAATACCATATAAACGTTTAGCCATTTTACAAAGGCTGACACCTTCCCGTTACGTCTGCAGACCAGTGAGATTGACATGATAAATCAACGATGATTTACATAATAAATAGCGGGCAGTCACTGAAAAAGTAAAACTGAACTACATATACCCCAAATGTAATCAAGCAGTGTGGTGCTTTTAAGGTTTTGTAAATTAAATAAGTTTGAAAACATCATAGATTTTTTGTGCTATGTATGTTTTACCGACGTGAGCGTAGATTCCTTTTTTGAATATTCGGGTTTCGTTTAAACATTTTGGAAATTCGTAAACGGATTTAGAATTTTTTCACTTAAACTTGTTAACGTCACATACTTAGTTGGCATTTATGTTGATTGAATTTTAACTGAAATTTGTATACTTTAAAAAAAAATAAAACACGTGTAGAAATATGCTGTGAAATGGAAGAGATGATTATGGGTTTATAGCGTTTTTTTAGAATTGTTCAGGTTTGCTATAAAATAACACAGAAAAGTTCCTGAATTATATACTTATACATTTTTATTTTGCTGGTAAATGACAAATTAAACAGGCACCCAAATTTTCAACATACAAAATGTTCCGCAACTACATTTGTCAATTTTCTTTTTTTAGATTTCTTTGGCATCATAATGAGTCTCTTTTGTCAGTGATGAAATTAAAGAACATGTTTTTAAGCAGTTTTGTAGTCAAGTCACCAACGCCGAGTCCAAGTCTCGAGTCACAAGCCTCGAGTCTGAGTCCCGAGTCACAAGCCTCGAGTCCGAGTCCCGAGTCACAAGCCTGCCTGGAGTCACGAGTCACGAGTCACTGGTTCTTAGTTGTTCACGTGACACTCTTTGGCACCAGACACTTTTTGGCATGACACCGGGCCCTGGTGATTGTCGTGCAGGTGCTAGGCGTGCGTATGCAACCCTTGGATACAATTTCCGTGGCGCCTTGTCTATGGAGTAAAAACAGTGCTACGTCTGTCGCACAAATACGTAACGTTATGTTTTTCTTTTGATGAAAATATGCGACTCGAGTCACGAGTCACCAAGCATGAGTCCGAGTCATCATGGTCGAGTCCGAGTCCAAGTCTGAGTCATTTTCAAATGTGACTCGGGTTGAGTAACGAAAAATGTGACTCGAGTCCGACGAGTCCGAGTCCTGGACTCGAGCCCTACAACACAGATTTATTGGTTTTACTAACTTGCCTTTCACAGCTTTTGTTGGTGCTATGTACGTGGATCAGGGAATTGAGGCAGTTACCGTCTTCTGTCAAGTTTGCTTCTTCCCTAGGCTCAAGGTAAGATTAAATTGTTTCTAGCTCTCGATGATGGACTTTCATTTATCAAGTTTCCTCCGAAGACATCATTCTGTGTGTTGTTTTTCATGATCTGATGATAAGCTAGAGTACAAGACCCAACTTCATTGCTGTATGGTTTATATCTTAGCTGAGGATGTAATGATTGCCATGTGAATGCAGTGTGTCCAAAATGCAACATTTGGTATTTTGTTTTTGACTTTCTTTAACATGATTTCAACCAAACTCTTAAGAATGTTTAACAGCTGATATAAAGTCTACAACAACAAGTACTGTTTACTTTCGTTCATTTCTGAACAACAGAGAAATCTGTTATTTCAGTCATCCTAATACTTGTTAATCATTGGTCATTTGCTTAGGATTTCATCTATAGTCAGCACTGGAATGATGCCAAGTCACAGCTACAGCAATGCTGCCTGACACTCAGAACAGAAGGCAAGGAACCAGACGTACCCCAGTACAAGTAAGTCTGTGGTCCAGTGGTTATGGTGTTCGACTCATGTGCTGTGGGACGTGGGTTCGAACCCTGCCAGGAACATGGTGCTTGTGTTCTTGGGCAAGACACTTTACCACAATTGTCTCTCTCCACCAAGGAGAATAAATGGGTATCTGTGAAGGTAGAGACCAAATTGTGCTGATCTCGAGCTGCTGCAGAAAAATGGTCTCCTTCCTGATGAACAGGGATAATAATTGCAAAGCACTCTGAAACCTGAACCTGAAGGTATAAAGCACTATATAAGCACCGCATTACACCTGTTAATGGAGCCATTTTGTCATCATAAATTATACCCTAGGTAGACACCGGACATTAGGCAGATATTTCAATGTCTCCCTAATTTTACTGTCGCAAATAGGCTTGATCGATTGCTCAAGGTCAAAACATAAAATATACCAACATTTCTGGGGGTAGGATAAGGGAAAAGTGGGGTTTGGAAAAATTTTGTGCACAAGTTTATGGGAATGTCGCCCATGTGACCCATTATTCGGTAATTATTAAAACTACAAATGTACCATTAGGGAGACACGTTATCGTAATTTCTTCGACAATAGGGAGACACCGGTCATTAGGGAGACGTTTCACGTCTCCCTAATTCCACAGCCCCCCTTTAGAGGCAAAATTTTACCGTCGCAATCGGGTTATATTTGTTGCTCGTGGTCTTATTAGTAAAAATACCGAAATTCGTGGGAAAAGGACCAGGGAATATTGGGTTAGGGCACTTTTAAGTTTATGGGAATGTCTCCCTATGGTCCCATTTTCGGTAATTATTATCATTATTATTATTTTTGGAAATTTATGCCAGAGATGAATACGAAATGATGAGATCTTTCTTGAAATACTCTTTGGAATACCTATTTGAACTGCTATTGATCTCGGGCTGTGTTCAAGTTACTTGCAGTGCTGTTCGACAGTTTGCAAGAATATACTCACAAGCATTCTCGAGTGGGAGTCGAACCCACGACCAGCTGCTTGAAAGTTCAACCAAAGACAGATAAAAACAAACAGTCCTTTTCAGGGCTACCAAAAAGCCAAAAAAGAGATATGGTCATTCGCACCGCGATAGTTCTTGTGTGACATCCTAATAAAAGAATTAAATGAAAGAAAAGTGACAACACTGTACAATAATTAGTTGTCTCACGTTTCTCTGGGAAAAAATGGGTACCTCTTCGTTTTCAAATATAACCCCTCCATGGTAAAATGCACATCATCAAGAAAAGCCCTGCCAGTAAATAGGTATCTGTTTGAATCCCGCTCCAATCACCCTTTGAAAAGAAAACCCAAACACCCATTTCATTCAAACCGTATTCGGATTGTCATTAAGGGTGTTGCATTCCATTGTGCCGCTATCAAAACTTGCTAGAAACTCAACACAATAATCTGTCTGTGGCGATGTGCCGACAATGCCGACCGTGAGTGTGACTGCTGATGCGTGTGTGTCCCGCTCGCCCTGTTTACGGCGGCGGTGCTTAACCTACAATAGTGCGGCTTATACAATAGTGCGGTTTTGTGTACGGCTAAATTGTGCGGCTTATACGATGGTGCGGCTTATACGTTGACGCCTGAATCTTATTCTGAAGATTTTTGGTGCGCTGCGGCTTATACGCCGGGCGGCTTATATTCCGAAAATTACGGTACTAGTCTAGAGGTCTTGCCACTTGACCACTGAGCTAGGGAGCCTGATGAAGTGTCAATCGTATCTATTAATTTGTTATTATCTTCCACAGGGTCATCAGTCAGCATGGTCCCACCAATAACCGTGTCTACAACGTGGCGGTTTACTTCAGAGATAAAAGATTAGGCACGGGGTGTGCTTCAAAGTAAGCTAGAATTGATTTAATAAAATTCAAAAATTCAGAAAGACTGTTAGAAATTTGGTTCTAATTTTCACTGCATCATCATCATGGATCAAATTTTTTTGAGCAAATGTTTCTAAGTTATTGTGGTTAGGGTTCGTGACTCATGATCAGAGGGTCAGGGGTTCGAATCCAGCTGCTGGCCATATGTTGTGTCCTTGGGCAAGCCACTTCATCCCCACTTGCCTCTCTCCACCCAGGAGTATAAATGGGTACCGGCATTAGCTGGGGAGTAGCCTGTGATGGACTAGCATCCCATCCAGGGGGGAATATAATTATTCTCAGTCATTTCATGCCAAGGAAACCGGAGATAAATGCTGGCCTGATGGATTATATTGGCTCGTGACAGACTTTTACTACTACGCAGTAGAACGCCGTTTTAACAAACGCCATGGGGTCCATAAAAAAATGTTCCTTGTAGTGGTCATTCGTTATAGTGATTGTGCATGTGATGTTATAGAATTTGCTATTTCAGGAGCCAAAGGGGGTGTTCGTTATAGCCAAATGTTCGTTATAGCGGTGTTCATTATAGCGGCGTATCACTGTACTATTGTTCACATGTTTACGCACTTCATACATTGAACTGGTTTTGGAAATTTGCATTTTCTTTTCATACTTGATACCTATGGCGTAACTTTCATCTAGATGTAACTTATCTGTGTTGAATTACCTTAGATTCTCATTGGAAAAAAATTACTGCATATGTAACCATTTTTTCTTGAATGAAAAAAAAAAGATGATTGATAGATTCCTTTTGTTCTTGGATTAATTTCTTGTAGCACTCAAGATGCACAGATGGAGGCAGCTAGGGATGCATTGCAGAATTGTAAGTCAAAATAATCTACGACATCATGTAACTGGGCTCAATTAATTTTGGTAAAGGCTGCAGCCGAATACTACTTAGTGCCTAATTAGCCCGTTAAAGGGAGCCAATTTTTACTGCACTATCAAAATGCATTCTTTGTAACTGCGTTCATCACTGCCTATTTTTGTACCGCTCATGTTGTAAAAAAACTCACAATTTTATTTCATAATCTACGAGATAATTTTTACTGGGAACAATTAGTTTTGGTATGGGCTTCAGCCGAACACTAACTAGTGCCTAATGAGCCTGTTAAAGTGACCCAATTTTCACTGCACTACTGTAGCCCAAGACGCAGTGATATACGCAGCAGAAATGAATACATTATTACAATAGAATAGTGAACATGGGGTCTTTTTAATGGGCTAATTAGGCACTAATTGGTATTCGGTTGAAGTCCATACCAACAATAAGTGAGCCCAGTAATATTATCTTGTAGATTATGAAATAAAGTTGTGAGTTTTTGACAACATGTGCGGTACACTGTGTTTTAAATAGGCAGTGATATGCGCAGGATTTAAATTAGTTATGCCTCAAAAACCAGGTGGTGCATGAAATAAAACATTGCATTTAAGTATAAAGTCAAAGCATTGTTTTTGCATAAAAGGAGGTCTTTCCGAAGCCTTCTCTCTTCCTTCTTTGATTTCTTAAGTTGAGAAGAAATTTGTCCCCCAAAAAGATGAAAACAGTGGTAGATAAATAGTTTATCATGTTTTTTCTTCTTCCTTATTTCTGTCTGCAGATAATTTCCCCCAACTTCACCATCAACGCATGGTGGTTGAGCGGAGGTACAGCCAAGAGGCCAAAGACAGAGGAAGTCGTCACAGACCACGATCAAATAAGATTTGATCATCTCGGCAGGGATTCTGTATAGAAAACAAGGTTTTTACAAGGTAAATGTCACAGCGGATCGTCACAACTTGAAAAGCTTTTACAGTTAGTTGCTGTCGATGTAGCCATGTCAATCACAAGTCCTTACAAATCAATCACAAGTCATCATAAGTCAATCACTTATTCCTCACAAATCAATCACAACGTCACCGTTTTTACAAAGGGACGGGTATGTCAAAAACGACATTTTTGTTAAGTTTCGAGGTTTTTTTAGCTTACGTTGAAAAACCACTCTGAACCATTCTGACTTGCTTTGAGAAGCAAAACCTGCGTAACGTCTTAATAATGCTGTATCAGGGGCATCTCAATAATTGCATTTTGCATTTTCAAGGGCGTTAAAGTAGAATAAGTGAAATTTCTGTTTTCATGAAGGGACGGACGTCTTTGATACATTTCAGACACGCGCACCCAAACATACGTGCCCTCCACCTATGGCAAAACACATACTGCTCAGTAGACGGGCAGATCTTCTTATCAGAGATTACAATATTGTTATGGTTATTATTTTTTATTATTATTTGAATGCCTTGAAATGTTCAGATATGTGTCTTTTACAATGTTAAATGTGATATTTTATCAATTTGTACATTGTGTTAATAGCATTTCTGCATTTCGTCTGTTGACAACCTTAAGATGTTACGTAATTAGAGACTTTTCTTTTCACAACTACAAGTTGTTTTGGTTAATGTTGGTCACGTGACCACCCTCAGCACTCTTAGATAATTCCGTCATTCTTGTAAGCAGTCGTTCAATGTGTGTTGGGCATGTTTTACAAGCTAAAACTCTCGGAAGTGGAAAGTCGGCGATGAGTTTTGGCAAAAAGGAGTGTAATTTTTCCCAATAATTTATTTATTTGTCTTGAGATTATGTTTGTTTTAATCTGTGTGCTATTTTGAAGATGACTCAAAATGAGAAAATATTTTTGGGGTGGAGTTTGTGGGGGGGGGGGGTAGTCTGAGTATCACCTGTTATCCACGGAACCAAGTCTCCTGTCTAACGTCTGATATATCTAAGCTTGTGTGATATCATTTCATTCCATAATCAGGACTAAGATTGTGATTGGTCAATTTCGATGCCGTATTTTTGTAATGCAACAATTTGTACAAAATGCTACTCGTGGGTGTGATGTTTACACATGTGGGGAGCTTGCATTACGCGCGTATAGAAGGCGCCTGCTGATTGGTCAGTTTCTTGAGGTCATACACAGTCTAGTTGCATAATTAATCACCGAATCTGTTTACGTTTTATACACCATGGTCGGCTTCGCCAGGGCCAGGGTCAATCACATAGACTGGGGGGGGGGGGGGGGGGGGGGGGGGGCAGGGGAAGATCTTTATAAATCTCAATACATAACTGAAACAAAACAAATCTGAACTTTTTTTCTTGTCTAATTCGGGCGATTCACAATGCAGTGTACCGCCAAGAGTTTGCCATGGAGAGTCAACTTTTCAAGTTTACGGTCAACAAAACATGGCCCATTTGAATGAGTGTCAGTAGACAATTTGAGCTAATTCGTTATAGATTTGGGCATAACGTTCTGCTGCCTTATCAAAAATCACCATATTGATACGAAGAAAAGAAAAGGGCAAACATATACTCGAATCATATGCTTATGAAACTACTGACCGGAAAAAAACGAACAATTTCAAAATGTCCCACGCTGCGAATTTGTCTACCATCTCCCACAATGCATTGGAAAAAATGAACTCTCTGTGGCAAACTTATGGTGGCGCACTGCATTGTGAATCGCCCGAACTCATCATTGTTGAGAACCATTTGTAGACTTTATCCTATCTCAGTTTCTGTAAAACCTCATGTTTGAGTGGCAGACAATGTGTGTTTCAATACTGGAATGCCCTTGAATCCTTGCCATTGAGGTGCAGATAAGCTTTGTAGACGTGTGTCGCGTGGTTGACTGGCTTTGATTAATTGAGGCATTCATTATGCACACTCGTCCTGCCCCTGGTTAAATAAACACCTCCTACCAAGTGTGTACCTAGTAATGAATGTGTTTGAAATTTCATTTGAATTCTGTCGCAGTTGCCAACATAAATGCAGAATGCTGTGCAAGAGCAGCATTTAGTCTGAGATGGATAAGGGCATCCCTTTTTATCCGCCTGGCTGTAAGCCAGAAGGGGATATTGCGATAGCGTATTCCTTCTGTGTGTGTGTATGTCTGCATTTGTTTATGGTGTAAATCGAGGACACACACGTGCAACATCATCGGTGAATCGAGGACAGGAACCAAATCGAGGACGACCTCGAGTAGAAAACGCATACAAAACCAATGAGAGCTGTTGCGAAAAAGTTGAAGTACACAGGAAAAGAGAGGTGGAACAAAAGAAAATCCTTGATTTACACCATAAACAAACGTGGGTGTCCGTGTGTGTTATGTTTTGGTTAGGTTAACTCTTGTCAGCACAATAACTTGAGAAATACTTTACTTAGGAACTTGAAATTTGGTTTGTGGATTGTTCTTGGTATTCTTAAGAACCCTATTGATTTTGAGGCCGACAGGTCAAAGGTCAAGGTCACTCTATTGCTAAAACAATAAAAATCTTGAAGAAATACTTTACTTAGGAACTTGAAATTTGGTTTATGGGTTGTTCTTGGTAGTTTTAGGAAGCCTATTGCTTTTGGGGCCGACAGGTTAAAAGTCAAGGTCAATATGCTTAAACAATAGAAATTTTGTCAACGCGATAACTTCAGAAATACTTTACTTAGGAACTTGAAATTTGGTTTGTAGGTTGTTCTTGATAGTCTTAAGAAGACTGTTGCTTTTGGGGCCAACAGATCAAAGTTCAAGGTCAATATTGCTAAAACAATGGAAATATTGTCAGCACGAATGCTTGAGAAATATTTTAGTCAGGAACTTCAAATTTGGTTTGTGGGTTGCTCTTGGTAGTCTTATCAAGCCTATTGATTTGGGGGTGAGAGGTCAAACGTCAAGGTCACTCTTGCTAAAACAATAGAAATTTTCCGTTTAGGTTAGGGACACTGACTTTATCACAAACTGCCAGCATGCCTTTGTGATTTGTACATCAAAATCCATAGAATCCAAGACAGAGGTGTAACAAAACAACTGTTGACGGTTGTGGTGTGGGACGTGACGTTTGAGCACCCTCGGGGCGCCCCTCGGGTGTTCAAAACCAGTCATATCCCACGTCACAACCGTCGACAATTGTTGAATATTATAAGTTTCAAATCCTCCATTTTCCTCTAAATTATAAAATAAACCAGGAGTCAGATTGAATTTTCAGTTGGTTCGTGGTTGCACCAACCAGAATTTTTTTAAAGTGAAGGGGGAAAAGAACTATGATACAGTAATGAGTAAACTTTCCAAGTGTCAAGCGCAGGTTATTTTTAATGATTTTTTCTCAATATGCTGGCAGTGCGCCTCTGTGTCTGCTTATTAAGCAACAGTGCATTCTGAAGTGTTTGGAGTCAAATATTGACCTACCAGCAAAAATCCTTGTTCTCTGGGGAAAAAAAGTAAAAATGAAAGGTTAAAAAATATGTTTCCAATTAAAACGTGCTCACTGTAAACATATTCACCAGGATGTCATCTCCCGGTCAAGGTTTATTTCAATGGTAATTGGTTGGTTTGTTATTAAAATTATAGATTGACTTTTTTTCTTGCTGCGTCAGACTTGCCAAGATGTCTTTTTAAGGCTAAGCATCAATGAGGTTTTACACACAATTCACAAAAATCGACAAGTTAAAAAACAAAAGTACAGAAAATAAATCCCATTAATCTTGAGGCTTTGTTCTGCTTTGTGGAGCACCCAAATTGTTTTTTTTTAATATGAAAAAATGTGAAACCAAACAACAAAATGTAAAAGTTTGAATTTTTTGAAATACATGTACTATCAAGGCCAAAATATTTGTGTTGATTGCTAGCGTTCAATTCCAGTCCTCACGGTTTGACTAAGTTCCACTAAGCCAGGCAGATGCATGCACAGCCATTCTGCTTCCAATCAATTAGATCAGAAATCCTTTAATTCGTTTTAAGTCATCCCGCCCACCGTGATGTATTTATTCCCAACTCAGTGGCGTATCGGGGGGGGGGGGGTACTTGTCTCCCTCCCCTCCGCGGCATTTTAGTGTGTGTGTTCAATTTAAGACGGTTTTAAAACAGTCTTTCTTAATTTTTCCGCCCTTCCCGACGTAAACAAAAAAAGCTGGATACGCTAATTCCCCGATTCAGGGCTCGTGGATTTGTTGGCAGAAGTAATGAAAAGATTGTTGTAAGTGTTGACTGGGGAGGCCGAGGGGAGAGGGCGGGGTTGTGTTTGTGAAACTGGGATGTGGATAATTGACCCATGGCGCGCGGTAGAATCGTGTTAGAATCGCGTCAACGCAGCTTATGAAGTATTGTCCAATTACATGATGGACGCGGAACGCGCAACATCTGAGACAAACAAAACTTAGCGTACAAAAATTCCATAGGGTTGTCTAAGGGGCGTGGCTAACTTGAAAATGGCGATAGGTCAATTGCTGTGATTACATAATAAACCACCAAGCATGTCGTACTGGTCGGGTGCTCCTCCCGTGCTCCTCCCGCGCGTGGGCCAGCCACGAGGCAGTCTTGTGAGTAACTTCAAACAGTCAACACGTGTCTCTTTATGGGGTCTCTGTACCGTGGTGCTGACCTACCTATACCCACCCAAGACTCAACCTGTCCGCCGTCGTTCACCCCGCACTGAGGTAACTACAATCCTGGTAAAACCTCGCTGGGTCCCCGGCCACCAGCCCCGGTCAATTTTGTCTCTCGTTGCGCGGTCTGTGCTCAAGCGCGAGATGACAACGTTGACCGGGGCACCGGGGAGGGTATGTTCATTGTGTGGACGTGTCCCAACCATTTTGTCCGGGATTGTAGGTTCCGATACAACATCATTAAATGTGGCTTAAAAAAACGAGGTAGTTTTCAGTTTGGATTTTCTTTTGGTGTTGTTAAAGGGGCACTAGGTCCTGAAATCCCCGAAAATTTCATGTTTTGGATTGTTTACTTATCCTATTTCAAACATGTGGTTGAAAGGAAACCAACCTAATGTCTTACCGTTCCCGAGAAAAGACGACAAAAACTAGTGTCCCTTTAATGACTTGTTTTGTTGGTACATGGTTGTGCCAATTTTTATTTTTTTTTTGGGGGGGGGGGGGGGGGGGTGCGGGGGCTGGGGTTATATAAACCTAGCTTATGCCAGACGTCTTTCCTGGATCCGGAACGACTTGCCAAAACTCATCAATAAGTCACATTGCCCTGCAACTAGCATCCATCATCCAAAATGAAAAAAAGGTGGAACGATAAGAAATAATTAGAGAGGCGCCTGATGTTACTGGGACACTCGAAGAGAAGGTGGCTTAGAGAGTGGAATGCGTGCTGGAGATGACGGGGTTTTTTACAGTTCATGTTTTAATAAGGCCGAATTAATGGCTCCTCCCGACGCACGCTTCTCTGCGCGGAATAAGTTAAATTGCTCATAGTAAGCTATAAACATTGGCAACATGCATGGGTACATAAATTATGAATGATGGATCAAGGGAACAAGCAGGTGTGTTTAATTTTCATTTTAAATGGGTGTGGGGGGGGGGGGGTATACAGAGTCATCGAACATACGTGCTTGATTTTCCCGTGTGTAGGCCTACGGAACTTGAAGGGAATTTCTGATCATTTTCTGTCCATTTCCAGAGAAAGTAAAGAAAGCTACATGCGCAGCTCGACAGTCGATTGAAGAGAATTAGACATTGGCTAAAGTTATATCATGAACAGTTCAGTTGAATATAAATACCCATCTAAAAACGTAACTAATTGCGGAGAGACATCCCGTGTGTAGGCCTACGGAACTTGAAGGAAATTTCTGATCATTTTCTGTCCATTTCCAGAGAAAGTAAAGAAAGCTACATGCGCAGCTCGACAGTCGATTGAAGAGAATTAGACATGGGCTAAAGTTCTATCATGAACAGTTCAGTTGAATACCATATAAATACCCGTCTAAAAACGTAACTAATTGCGAAGAGACATAAATTCTATCAAGAAGGAAATAAAAGCAAAGACCAGTAGGAGTTTGAGCTTAAGGGTACCCGTATCTTTGGAAACAGCGCACGTTTATTATGACAGCATTCCAGGGAACCAGCGAGATTGCAAAGTCCGCCAGAAATAGACTTCTTTAAAACATAGTATGCCTGTAATTCCTTGAAAGAGCAACATATTTGTTTTGTCCAGTATGGAGTTCAGGAGTTTGTATTGTATGAGTCTTTAAATACAGCACGTCCCAAAATGCTCGCA